AAATTTATATTTTATTTAAAAATAAAATCATTATTGCTTTCTTAAAAACACATAAAATCGTATTATAACATCTACAAAGACACATAATAAATAGAACATTAAAATCGAGATTTGTCTCGCTGCATTGCGCGAGTACTCTTCTAGTATAATTTAAACAAATTCAAACGTTTATCAATTTACAAAAACAAATAGTCTTATTAACTTAGATTTTAGACGTCAGCACCACCTTCTATAAATCAGAAGTGAAATAAGCCTTCAGACTTCAGCACCTCTTAAAAACAAACGTTACCTTACTCTCCGATGATGGACATTATAACATTATGTTAATTAATTAGTCTGGTAGTTTTCCGAAGGATTGGAAATGCATCTCATGGATGGGGTTACTACGTATCTCTATGGGGATCTAAATTCAGAGATATATAAAAGTGTTTGGTGTCATTACACTATCCAAACCAAGTAACTCTAAACCACATACTGCAATTGAAATAAAATTGAAACACTTTATATATTAAAGCAATCTAGCCGAATGTGGTACATCCGCTTAAGTGAGTACTTGATTGGGAAGCGATATAAGAAAGATGAATTGTGCCCTTGCGTACTTATAAAAAAACGAGTTCTAGATTTTTAATCGTACTCTATATGTCGATGTTATGAACATAATAGTCACTCTTGATGAAATAAGAAAAACCATAATCTACTTGAAATCTGAATTTGAGATGAAAGATCTTGGGAAAACTTGGCTACGTCTAGCTATTGGAGCTCAGACACTAAGCTTGTGGAATATTAATCCACCGATTCGCATATGTCCGGAAAATGATCAGACAATTTAATATGGACAAAGCCGAGCTAGCACTCCTATGATCGGTCAAAGTGTTGGATTGGATTGGAGGAATCCGGAGCCACAAGGATCTTCAACGGGTTCGAAAGTCTTTTATAAGGAAATGTCTATTTCGTCTAAAGGATGATGATGAAGAGGTGTTGGGAGCTGGAATTCTCAACCTAAATACAATAGACGCATTATTGTACTTACACAATACACTTGATTGTATATTGTATTATCAGTGAACTTGTTAGCTAGATTTAACTCAGCGTCAACGCAACATCATTGGAATGATATCAAATTAATTTTTTGGAACCATTGATATGGGCTTATATTTTCCCTACAGAGAGAAAAATGAGATTGATAATTGAACTTCAATGCCTACTTAGATAGTGAACGGCGAAAGTTGTAGCCTTTACAGAAAAACACCAAACAATATCTTAGTATGTATTTGTTGATATTAGGTATCTGTATGACCCATGCAAAGGTTGTTCCCGAACTGGATAAGGAATTACCACAAGGAACATGTTGATTGCTTGGAAGTAAGCTAAGCAAACCCTTGTAGTTACCTCTTCGAACTATTCCAAGAATATTACTCTACATGAGACTGTTCAAGAGTGTATACGGTCAAGGACTATCATTACACATAGTAGAGCAGCTAACGTTTTGAGTTCAACCAATATCCTACCCGCACATATAGAAATAATGTATCATGTATCAAAGAAGTGAAAGTAAAATACATCAAGGGTGATAACATAAAGCATATTCTGCTTAAGTTTCTATATGATCAGCAATAACAAACTTTTCTCTGGATTCAAGTGAATCAAGTTAGATGGTAGAAGAATGTGACATATTTGCTTAGACTTTCCAAACTTTCTTGATTAATGCACAAATCAGGGGGGGATAGTAGACAAAAACAGGAATCTACTATATATGCAATATTGGTATGTTGTGCCCTTTCCTTCACCAAGATTTTATTTTTCTCATTGGATTTTGTTCCTTGGTGTAAGGTTTTAGTGAGGTAACAATTTATATATCATCTTGTTTTCCTAACTCTCATGATTAATGTACAAATCTTAGAGAATATTAGACTAAAGAAAAAGGCTATATATTGCAAAGAAGTTGATGCATTGTACTTTTTCCTTCGTCCTATTTTAAATTTTTTCCACTGGGTTTTTTTTTTGACATAAGGTTTTAACAAGGCAACAATTGTGCATTATTACTCTTTTGACTCAGCACAAAGGGGAGTGTGATAGGATATGTGTGTGATCATCTAAATGATATGACAATATAAATAGAGATAAACATATTAGAGGTAGATTAAAACTGATGTCTCTTACAGTTTTCTACTTGTAACTCATCTTGCATATCATTATCTCCATTTACTGTTGTTCTATTTGGTTTTTCCTTTACAGTAATAATATAATTATAGCTTAGTTGCTTGTATTTCCAAAGAAAGGTCAGGGTTCAATTCCTTGCATTGTTTATTTCCTTCAAAAAGAAAAAAAATAAACAAAAACTGTATAAGAAACCCAATATTAAAAGCTAAAATACAACATTTCCTGTATCAAGATACTCGCACAATATACTATATACCATGTACATGTACATGTAAATGATTGTTGCTGAAAATTCGTACATTAGTCACCGATCATTTACATTAACTATTGTAGTGTCGACAACGATATGCTACATGAGGTTTTAGTTACTCCCTCTTACTTGCCACACGTTGTTTTTCTTCCTCGACTTGTTCAAGCAACGCTTCTAATTCCGCTTCACTTAGACCCTCTAGCCGTTTCTGCATTGAGAAGTTAACGGTGAAACTTGAAACTCAGAATAATAAGAAAAACGTCAATAATCAATTGAGTATTTATGTGAAAAGATGGTAGATACACGGGCAGACCTATTAAGCACTAAGTGGGGTCTTGTGCACCAGCTCAACTTTTTTTTATATGTAAAATTATTTTTGCGGTATAAAAGATGCAATCACTAAGCTTTGGAAGGGTGTTTCAGAGTATCAGAAAATACAAAGAAACATTGACCAAAAGACCTAAAAAAGTCCCTCGAAAAATCATCCACAAACTGAAAAAGTCTCTCAAAATCAACCAAAAACCAAGAAGTCCCTCAAAATCAACCAAAAAACTTAAAAAAATCCCTCCAAACGGTGCAATTCGGTTAAAACACAATGAAAGACTTTGCGAGCCTTTGATCCACCTTAAAGGTACATCCACTAAGCAAAAATCTAGGATTCGCCACTGTGTAGATATGCCGAATAGAGTGGAAAGAATTGATATTCGACTCTTTGCACAACCCTTTGGGGTATATGACAACTTTCACAGCAAAAAAATACGGTGAAACCAATAAAACCGTCCCTAAACTTTTACTTTCTTCATATGAATACTCGAACATAATATGTATCAAGCATACACTTGTGATCTCGTAATCATAGAAATTACATCAAACCAAACGAGCTCAATATCTCTCTTCCCTGGAGATTGGGGGATGTAATGAATTTTTGCCTAGTGGTCCTAGTTTTCGGCTAAAAGTCAAGGTGATTCAACCAATTTGCCATCGTCAAACTAATGTTATGTTAATGTTCATCAAGGACAAATATGTCAAAAAGAAGCCGAGACTTGTGTAGAAAATAGCAGGTGAAGTAAGAAAATGGTAATTATGAACTGACCTCCATAACTTTCATTTCGTAGTCGCGTAACTGTTGGGCATATGTCATTTCCTTGTTTGAAACTCGAAAAATGTATGTTGAAATCCATCCAACGGTAAGACCTAACACCAATACCAACTGGACAACATTCCCAGCCTGTAAAGGATCGACTCCGAAGAACTGCAAACAATGTCAACATGAATGCTTAGATTAGATATCAATTAGAGAAACAAGCTTATCATGCGATCTACTCTTTAAATGCAAAACCAGCATGAATATCTTGTTACGCCCTCCATTACTAAACAATTGCAACTTGTTACCAAGTGCGCGGTCTTATAATAGTGTTTGACTATTAGTAAACTGTCGTAAACACGCATAATGATGATAAAAATGGGAAAATCTAGTCAACAAAAATCAAGCTCGTGAATTAAGTGTCTACTTTTCAATTTTGCCCTTGTATATGAGATGAAGAAATTCATTACCCCTCTATTATTAAGGGTAAAATCTCATTTAGTAATTAAATATTTCTAAAGTTGTAATCGTCTATTTCATCGCGGACATTTATTGCGGGAAGGAGGGAGTATTTGCAATGACAACATTGGATGGATAAGTACTTTTAGTTTGGGATTTGCAAAATGGAGTTGCAATTGAGGGTATAAAAACCTTCAATTTTCTTGATTCATGTGATTACTGTTGTGTATATGTGATCATCCATCCTAAACTGGTTCTTTACTTGAACCCATGTCTCTGGCCACAACGGTTAAACTTGCAGGTTGCTAAAACCGTCAAGACATTAGCCTAAAGGACCGTTTACCAAACATTTACTAGGTAAGCGCTTACCAGGTGTCACTTACCTTCCGGAGACCTAGAACCGTAACCGTAGGCATAGCAAGGACCAAGACTCTTACCCAGTAAACGTTTGGTAAACGGCCCCTAAGATGAATATAAATTCCAAAAATACGCTGCGTATCTTTATTACACGACAACATTGAGTTAAATCCAAGAGATAAGAGATTCCATAAATAAAAAGTGAATGGTGAGGATACCTCTAATCCGCTTTTTAGACCAATGCCAAAAAATGTAACTCCTAGTCCAATAAATAAAACATCTTTCCGATTATACCCAAATGGCACCTGCAGTAATCAAGCCATTGATGAGATAACAGAAGTCAACAAGTTAATAAACATTAAAAAGACTATCAAACAATCTTCAACAAAATTGTGTGACTTTGCTCGAAAGAATTTAAGATAGAGAAACTGGTAACAATTACGTTGGGAGTTGGGACCAGAAGAGAAGCCTAATTTGTACTTTTCTTTAATGTCTTTGACTACAAACAACTCTCCACTTCGGGACCAGATAACCAAAAAATAAACGTGTAACATGATGTAGCAATATGTTACTACATGACTACATCCCCATTAGTTTCAAAAAGTCCACCCTGGTACATTACAGATTCAAAATTGATCCAGTATTTTTGGTTTTGCATCTCCAAAATTCTTTATTTTAAAACTTTGTACCGTCTACTGTAGCTATCAAACTTTTGCTTAAACGGGAAAAAAAAAAAAAGATTAGAAAATGATTCATTGGACACCCAAAAGTCAAATATAGACTTTCTTTATTTGGCATGGAGGGATACATGGTAGAAGTAAAAAAGATAAATTCACTTTGATCTACATAATCAAGTGTGATACGTGGTTCTACATGCAGAAGTTTAGATCGAAGATGGGTGTCACATGCCTTCTTTTTATCGGATGCCTCATCAGTGGCACCATCAGAGCTTGAGGAATTGCTACTTCTGGGGATTATAGATGTCATTTTCTTCGATATCAACCCATGAAATTCTTTTGTGGAATACGCAGGATTTCCAGTTGTTGAAAATCTAAGAGAAAGAACTCTTTCTAGAAGAAGAGGAGGAAGGGCAAAAAATTAGAACTCTGAGCGAAGATTATAAAACAGAAGTTGTATGAAATCGAAGTACTGTTATATTACAACTCGGCACTGGAAACAAGATAAAATGAAAAGTAGATCAAAGGGTAACATCCTAGTCCCATGGCATGAATAAGTACAAATGCTTCCAAAATAAGCAACCTAACAGATCCAACCTCCTACCCCACATGCAATTCTGAAAGGTTCTGTTCTGAAATCACTCAACTCCCCATGTTTCTGAAGTAGAAATTTAACTGTTGGGCACTTGCTAAAAAGTTCAATTATGATAAAGAGTAATATGTGGCGGAAACGATAGGTGCAGATGAGCTTCACCTGTTAAGAGGAAGATAATAGAATCACCCAGTAACTTCTCTTTTTACATTATCTTTACAAATTCAGATAGGAAACAAAAATGCTACATCTTTTCTGTCATAAACTCCTCAATGTGTACAGACATGCAGTAAGCACCTCCATGTTAAAAACTTTGTGATATGCTTAATCCTCCACATCATGGTATCAACCATAAATATATTTTTTAAGTTTTAACTTCCCATCTTCTTCTACGATCCCAAAATATCTCTCTAGGATGGAATCAAATCAATTTTCAATTTTGGTTCAAGATGCCTGCTTAAAGTAAACATTTGTACATACAGACTGCAAGGAGAAAGCGAAGGATAATGTAAAGCAAGGTGTCCATGTTCAACATCATTACTAATTCCAGCATATATGGCTGTAACCTACGATTGAAGAACTATGTGCCTTCATTCATGAACCATTATTGTACGTTGCAATCCCTCGTTCTTTTGGAAACATAAGGGACTCACATAAGCATATCTCATGATAATATATTAGTATCAGCATTCAATTACAAAAAAAAACACCTCATGTTATGAAACACTTTTGACAAAAATATGAAGTGTTTCAACACTCCTTGTTTTTCGAATGCTAGCTAGTAGCTACAACTAGTTTGCTCTATCTGTCTTTTCCTCAAAAGCATGTATGCATTCATTTATTGGCTTCAAAAACCATTCTAGAACCACCAAAGGTAAGAAATAGTGGCAAGCATGTTGTCGGCAGCCCACATACTTTGCCTTGCTGATATAGCATCAAAATTTATCCTTCGATTCCACTACCTATATTGAGGTTTATTGAACCACAACTATGCCTTTGCTTAATTATGGAGCATCTTTTTCCAAGCCACAAACTCAATGTAGTTATTAAGAAGTTTTTTTCCTGTGACCACAAATTTCAATCTCTATCTTGCACCTTCTATTAGCAAGAAATATTTAGTCTTCACTTCTAAGAAACCTCCCCGGGTTTGTATTCTAAAACTCCCCAATTCAAGGACTGTTATAAGAAGGTTGATGGTATCAATCCTTGCAGTTAGGGAAAACACTTATCTAGAGCTTATAGCCTTTAGTGACTAACCTTGCCTTGTGCTTCTCCACTTCCCCTTCTTGATTAGTCTGTCTTGTACATAGTACACCCACTTGACTACAATTGTCTTGGGTCACTTGCGGAGTCAAGTTAGTTCCCAATTGTCATTTCTTTTTATTGCAACAATCTGTTCATTCATGGCTTTCTTCCATTTATAATCTTCATGTGTTGTTATATCACACATTGATATTAGAAAAGGTAATGAATCATCAAATGTAATCTACATGGGCTCTATAGCATCTCATAGATCTGCTATAGATCTCGCATTTTTGTAGTTGTTTCACATGAATTGTTGTTGCTACTGCTGCCAGCGAATAAAGTTAGCATCAATGTAAAAGATATTGGAGTTGGACTTTGTGGAGAGTACGATCACAACCTTGATCGGAGAGTACGATGACAACAACCTTGATCGTCTTATGCATTAAAGTCATTATCATCAAAAAGATAATCCTTCAACTTTCTTCTCGTTTTTTGCTCCATCTCTCGTATTTTGCTTCTTCAGCATCTAGTGAGATAATCACTTATTTCCAAAGAGGATTACACAACTTATACACCTTACTCCTTTTCTTATGACCAACAAAGTTGTACTTCCATCCTTTGTCATCTAGCTTCTCTCTTCTGATCAAATGTGAGCATATGCAATAGAGGCAAAAGTTCTAAGATGCCGGTTGTTGGCTCCATGCTTCATTTTGTGTCTAGAATTTTAACATGGCAGGTAATCATCACATTTAAAAGCGTCAACATGAAAACTTATTGGTTGACACTTTGTTATTGCTTCCTGCAAGAGTGCAAGGTAACCTTCACATACTTGATCTGCTTGATATTCTGGCAGTCCGTTCATCATAATTTCTCTCGACAATAACTTCAGAGGGTCAAAAACCTATGATGTTTAAACATTATATGCAAAACCATGACTCATCACGCACTTCATCAATCATGTCTGGACATCAAGTGTGAAAAGTTGAATCCTTGTCATATCAACCTTTGCAATTAATTTTCCATTTGTGTCCGACGATGAGAGAGCAGTCAATAAATATTTCATACCCTTCCTCTGCAAGGTTGCCAATGCTAATGATATTGCTTTCTAAAGCTGATATGTAATTAATATCAGCTATATACCTTGTCACCATGCTTTAAAGTAACATAAGCTTACCTTCGCTTTTAATCGGAATCTTTAACAAGTCTCCAAATGTGCTTTTCTCCTTGATGTGGCTCACACAGCAAGTGAAAATGTTAGAACACAAACCGATGAAGTTGGTTAGTAGCAAAGGCTAAATCTTAGTGGCTAATAAAGACGTACAAGAGAATGATCTGAATATGTGGTCAAAGAAGGAAAATAGGCCAAAAAAAAACCTTCTCAGTTACTGCATAGAACTTGTGGCTTAAAAATATTCTTCATAATTAAGCATATACATAATACAATTCTTAAGCCCCCGAAAATAATTTTAATTTTCAATCAACTCTAATATTAAATATGGTTTCTTTTATTTTAGTTCCCAACTGATAATATCAACCTCAATTTAATGCAAACAGCAGATAGCTCAATTGTCATCTGACAACTTCAAATAAATTTATATCTTTCTATCAATCTTCAACTCAACTATATATCATTCTATGCCTCATAAAGTACAAAATGTGATAAACTAGTAACTTTGTTCCTAGCAATCCCTAGGGAGCCCACCATTGGAAATATCAATGTGAAGAATAATTTGTACTTAATCCTCTAATTCTTCTTCTTTGTTTAGGTCATTTAGTTCCAAAATCATCCAGAACTTGAACATTCTTATAGTCTAGCATCTTGTTAACAACTATTACACTACAAAATTTTAAATGCAAATGCAGAACCTCATCTTCATATCTCCTCATACCAAGTCAATAGGGCCCACAATCACATTCTGGTCCTCTTAACACCATATAAATGGGGTAAGAAATGAAAGTGAGAAATGGCCAGAATAAAGGAACCTAACATAACCAGCAAATTCCATAATTAGTTATGTGTGTGTTTTTTTTAATATTGATAAAAAAACTAAAACAAACTTTAATTAGACCAAAATAATGTTGGCTAAAGCTCTTTTTTTACATCAATGTTGCCAAATATGGAACTCAAGGGATCAATCTTTGCAGGTAAAAGAGAGGTTCAATTACAAATCTATCACCAAAGTTTTCCAATCCAATGAGGCTTCAACTTTACATGATGCCTATCATTTATCTATGCGTAGATTTTATAGTATTTAAGAAAACAAATTATATTATTAGCCTAGTTCTCTAATTCTTTTTCATATGCCAAAGTTTGAATATTGATTCCTATTGTTTTGGAAGTCGCCCTTCATTTCCAAGCGGACTCCTCTTTTTTGTTTTGCCTCATTCCTAAAGAATTCCCATGAATCCCATCTCAAGCTCAACAGTTACCATAACCATGAGCTTTTCACATACCTTTTAGTGTGCAATATTATGAAAAAAGAATGGCCACAATTAGAAAATTCACTATGTTTAAATAGTATATGAGACTACTATATGCTGCAAGTGTAACCAATCCATTAGATGTCTTGTGTCCATTTTCCTTCTCTAATCTTGACTTTGTGTGTTTCACATAAAAACAAAACTGGACCTATAAAATTGAAGATCAGGATGAAAAGAGAACTCCATGACATTGCCAACCAGAGTAGCTCTACTCTTTCACCTAGTATCAAATCTTATGCCCTTATCCCATAAAATTGTAACAAATAACCAGGAATATAGTTTAATCAGATGTTATTAGACACTTGCATAACAACAAAATCAACTTAATCAACAACAACGAGAATAAGGAAACAATTCACGCTTAAAACTTCCAAAACAGAAGGAAGCTTTGAATTCCAAAAATGATAACTCCTTGTTTCCTGAGCCTCTATTCATCCATAAACTAGGTAACCAACATATGCATAAATTACTATCAGTAACAATGCAATTTACAATCATAAACCCTAGTTTTTCAGTTTTTTGAAATTCAACGAACCTTTAAACGGAACTTGAATAGCTGTTGGCTTCAGCTGCGAGAGAGGAAGAGCCGAAATGCCTACAAAAGATGTACTCACCATGGCTATCCGCTTCATTCCTACAGGATTAGAAGCCATTACTACAATTTTGCTCCACCATTTTTGCAAGACCTCACAAATATAATCCATCTATTTTCCTATCTACACCTTAAAGAATATGTATTCGCTACATTTAGCCCATTAATTTTATGGTTTCACAGTTTGATCCCTCTAACTTGTAAACATTATTTCATTTAGGAGCCAAAAGGTTGGATAGAATCGGGTGTGATCATATCCACGAGTAATTCTATTGTGTTTGTTATTTCTAGACCGTGTTTGTTTTGCAAAATGCTTTTGAAAGAAATGGAATACGTCAAAGAATTGGAATTAAGCTGAATTTGGTTTGATTAAGCATTTAGTTGGTAACAAAAGGAATGGAAATTAATTCCATCTTTTTAACACTTTTTCGTTGGCCGAATGTAGATATAGAATTAGAGTGTAAATCATGATAAATGATAAGCGTTATATATATATATATATATATATATCAAATTATCCTTCAGTTTGTAAGTTTCTAGACTAAATAATTACCTCACTAAGGGGGCCGTTTACTAAATGTTTGTTTGGTAAGTGTTTACCGAATAAATTTCTTCATCAGATGAACATGACAAGGGCCAAGAATCTTACTGGGCAAGAGCGATAAGAAGGATGTAGAGTCTTACCCGTTAAGTGAAGATGACTCTTACCTAGGTAAGTGCTTACCCGGTAAATTGTTGCATTCGATGCGTTTTGATGTACTAAAATCTTACGCATCAAGGTAAATTATATGTTGACTCCTATAGATAAGCACTTACCGGGTAAGCATTTGGGGATCAAGCCAGACAACTTTTCTAGCGGGTTTAGCCGCGTCCCACATTGCCAACGGTCGTAGATCGTGTTGTGTTTTTATTTTTCAAGCGGTTTTTGTAATGATATAAAACCAAGAGAGTAACCGTCATTGGAGGAATCAACCAAGAAACATCAGAGAACTTGAGATCATGACTCACAAGCATTTGAAAGGGTATTTTGGAGATTTTCTAGGGTTTCTTAATGAGATCTTCAGTTTACATCATTTGTAAGCTTTATGATTTCAATTATGAGTAATCAGGGTTTTAATTTCTAACAACAGGTATGTAATTAGCTTTGCATTTGTTTGTGTTGAGACTCGAATGTCCTTTGACGTCATTTGAATTTAATTAAGCAATCCTTGATTTAATGTTCTTCTAATCTAAGTTGGATCCCTCTGTTTATAAAAGTTAGTTTGAATTGCTATATCTGGTTTTGAATCTATAATTGTTCTTAGCTTGATCTTAGTAGCAATCATTGCTCTAATTGACATTTGTGTTAGTTGTTAACAACGTAAAATTGTATAATCTAACTCAAACGATTGCTCGTTCCTAGAAAACATCTGACAAAAGAGAAAGAAAGTTGTTCCTAATAGAGCAAAAACCCTTTGAACCAGAAGAATTGTGTGAAATAAGTAAAATTATGAGGCTAAGCGGTTCTACATGAATAAGTTTGGGTGTTGTTAACAGATAAAACAGATGTCCGCTTGTTGATTAGTTTTGGTGTGTGATTGGTCGTAACGCAACTAGCAATCAACTCCAAGTTCGTGATTAGATTAGAATAGCTAATTACAGACTAGTTGTTGAAGCATTTTCATGTTGTTCGTGTTTTTTTAACAAACGAGACATTGACGCCTATTGGTGTTCAATCCAGTATCAATTCAATTAAGAAACTATGTAACTGGATGAGTCAATGATACATAATTTATAGAATTGGTTTATTGGTATTCGTTATTCGACCTCTTCTCATTATTGTTTACAATCTTAATTAAATTTGGCATGCTTAGCTTAATTAACAATATCCGACGCCCCCCCTGTATACATACTGCAAAAACCACTTGCAACATGATGATTTTTTTGGAGTCTACGGTTGACACCGAGTCTCGGAGAAGATGACTCTACTTATTATTGTCACAAGCTTTATGCAATAAGGCAATAGACATCATATATTTATTATCATTTGTCGAACTCAAATAAAGATATGGGAATTTACATTGAGCGTGAGAGCCAAATGAATCGAAAGATTACCCATTAATGATATTTTGCAATTTCTTGTTCGATTTATAACTACATATTTAAGGTTGGATATGTTGGAGCATCTCTACCATATCCTTAAAGAAAACTCCCTAATTGGAGAATCAAAACTTAAAATCTCCAAAAAGAAATTACAATTTGTAACACCCTTGATTTCGGAGCCTTCGTTTGAAGCCTTTCTGTGACCGTTTGGCATTCAAGATGGTAGGAAAACGAGGTTTGTATATAATTATCATACTAAAAGAGTTGGCCATCTTTTAGATACATTTTGGAGGAGATCCAACTTAGATATTAAAAAGGATTTGAGCATAGATCTTGAAAGTTTGAAAAGGTAAGTCTTTTGAGCAATATCAGATGTCCTTTTGGGTTTTTGGTGGATTTGAAGCTTGAGCAGTTGAGCTCATGGTTGGTGTCCATTTGGCTTGATTATTAGTCATGCGAAGTTTCTTTGGTGGGATTTGCTTGTGGATCTAATGTCTTCACTATTTTGGAAGCAAGAGATGGATTTGGAAATGTAAGTTCAAGTTGTTTTGTGAAAACTTTGTACATGTCAGAAATGTATATTTTAAAGCTTTAAAGTGTTCTACTTGATGTTTATCGAACGTGCTATTTAATTGATGAGTGTTGCATATTTGATACATTTGATTTTATAAGTTTTGTAAAATATCCATACTTTGGGTTTTTGGACATTTTGATAAATAAACATAAAATGTGACCTTTTGTTGATTTATTGCATAAAAGAAGATTATTTGACGATAATACACTTTTGAAATTTGATTTTATAAATCAACCGAAAACTTCAAATAATTGAGTTTTGTTGGATTTTGGAGTGTTTTGGGTCTTGAAACTTGATAAACTATTTAAATGCATTTTGGGGCTTATGATGACTTCATTTTGGTTAGTTAAATAAATCGAAGAGCTTAATGGCTTGTATTTGAATAAATGTTCGTTTTGGGATTTTGCCCTACTTTTGAGTTAATAATGATGTGTTTAAACCACTCGGTGTATAAGTTGCATACATGTTGGTTATTTACAGTTTATAGGTTTGTGTTGACTTTTATTGATTAGTCATATATTTGGCTTGGTTTTGACTCATATGTGTTTTGGGGATATTTGTCCAGTTTAATTTGCTCAATGTTGAGCTTCGCAATATGATATGCAGTTATGGCATAGGAAATTACATGTTTTTTAGTGTGTTGGTCATTTAATAGAAGTCATGTGATTTAGATTGTAATGCAATGGATTTATAGGCATAGGAGTCGATTTGTTGGTTTTAAGATGAAATCATTATCCCTGTAATGTAGCTAGAAATATTTAGGATCAATAGGGGACCTAAGATATAGATGGTGGGTGGTTGAACTTGATGACTGTGTAATCCATAGTGGAGGAATCAAGGTATAAACTGTGAGTGGTTAAACTTGACCGTGTGAGCCATAGCGGAGGACTCAAGGTACAAAATGTGGGTGGTTGAACTTGATGACTGTAGGGCCACGTTGACTATAATTTCTAGTGAATGAGCATATTTAGGATCATCGGGGGTCACTATGCAAGGTATAGATCAAGATTGGTTGAACTTGATGACTATTGATCCGTAGTGGGCTCATTAACGCTGATATGTGGCTTACTTTTGTGTTTGTCACATTCGATGGATACGAGTCTCTCAGGTCACCAAAATGTGTTGTTTTGGATAGTGTATTATCCATGCTTTCAATGTTGTTTTGGATATGGAATGTATCCATAATTTGTTGTTTTGGTATCTTAGGTTTCATCCACGTTTTGATGTTTAGGATAATAGAGTTTCATCCATGATTTCAGTATTTCATCATTAAATCTCAACTGCATTTTGGGTGAGTATTAGGTTTAACTTCATGATAAAATGGGTGTTTTCATCACTGAGTTTTCATCATAAAAATAGTGGGTTTTGGAAATGATGTTGCTTTTATATTAAATATATTTCATATTGGAAATTGTGATTTAAATAACATCTTTTCAGCTTTAGTGCTTTACCATTTTCATATTAAAGATGAAAAAAAATTTGAACTCACTACGTCTAACCTTTTTATTTGTCGGCATGTGAGTCCTCGTTGGGGAATGGTACTAGCGACACTATGAAGAGTTACGAGCTAGTTAGAGGCACGAGAAATAATTAGCAAATTGGAGGCGCCTTTTGTACTTTGGATATAACGACAACTAATGAGTTTTAGTAACACTTTTCCCTGGTATAGACTTGTGTAAGGTTTGGAGTATTATGTATTGATGTTAAACCTTAGATTGTCATTGTAGGTAATCAAATGTTGACTTTTAGAAAGAGATTTAATCCTTATATGATGTTTTATTGAAAATTTTAAATTAACAGCTCTTTACAAATCAAAAGGTGTTACACAATCATCTCCAACAAATTCTATAATTTGGATATTACAATATTAAAATATTTTATGCATGTAATAAAATATTATGTCTCTCTTATAAATAATCAACATCAAGGTTTTTTTTATAGGTGGGAATATAACAAAAAATTTGTTTCTCTTTCATGGTAATTATTTTTCGGGAGTTTTTCAAATTTGGATAATTTCACACTCTCTAATGCTTCCTCTAGTTCAGAGAAATTTTAGAAAATTTCATAAATTTTTGCCCGAAAATCTCCATTTTGGATAATATATATGTTGGAGATACTGTTAGACGAGATCATGAAAGAGGTTTTCTAGGAGGAGTTGAGAGTTGCCCCAATAACGGTTAAGTAGATAGAGAGAAGAATGTGTGTGGTTTGGACACGTTTATAGCATATCGATGACGACATCGGTGAGGAGAGTCGAAAGAGTGATGGTATAGGGGGAGAGGAGGGAAAGACCGAAGAAGACGTGGGGTGAGCAATTGAAGTTGCGTATAGGCTATAACAGCCTTAGGTATCTCCCAGGACATCACATTTGATAGGAGTACGTGGACGGAGATCTATAACTAGCTTGGTTGGGTGAAAGGACGGTAGGCAGGGTGTGAGGCGGGGTAGAGAGCGGAGGTGTAAAGATTTCAACAAATTTGGAGATTTGCAACTTCTCTGTTTTTATAGAGCATTTTAGAGTAGATGTTAGAACACAATAAGAATATTATAAAAATTAAAAGATTTTATATGGATTAATGCTATTGATTAATACTTAGGAAATGTCTGGTTCAGGCGGATGAATAAAAATGAAAATGACAAGGAATGAAAATGTGAATGAATTTTCATTCCTCCCGGTTTAACTTGAAATGAAAATTTGGACTTATGGGAGAATGAACCTATTATATTATATAAAACCAAGCAATTTCTTTTATTCTCATTCTCATTAATTCTTACTTAATACATTTAATCAAACACCCCCTTAATATTTTCAATGGTTGTGTATTTGAAAATTTGAAAATTCAAGAATGTTTAAAAACAAGAACTCAGATGTTTTATAATACATTATAAATATAAAAAATTCAAAAAAAAAATTCAATTGATAAGTATTTAATGATTATAAATTCAAAACACATTTGTGGATTGTCTATTTAATTGAAAAAAAAAATCTTAAAAATTGATACAATTATTCTTGAAAAACTATAAATTTACAAATTAAAAATAAATAAATGTTTTATAATATAACTAGAAGGGTACTCGTACAATGCAGCGAGATACATCTCGATTTTATAATGTTTCGTTCTTTTTTTTTTCAATTGATGTTGTAATATAGTTTTATGTGGTTTTGAGAAAACAATAATGTTTTTATTTTTTAATAAAATATAAATATTAAGATTTATCATAAAAAATTGGGAAAAAAAAATATTGATATTAGTATCAAACTAACTATTTAAAATTTCTCATTTTTTTTGTATTTCTTTAATTCATTTTTTTTTGTTTAATAATATTTTTTTATAAAGATAATAATTAAGTATTTTGTTAAAACTCAATGATTATCTTAGTTATATTTTAGATTTTTTTATATTTAAAACAAGATGATTATCTTTTATTTGATTATGTTTATCTGTAGTTAGTTACACGACATGAAACTTTAATAAGTTGTACTTATGCACAATTACTTGTAATTTTGAATTTAAGTAATATGCATAAATAAATAGCACTTAATCTATAAAAAATAGTTTTAAGAGTTTTTGTCAAATGCTTTATAATATAATATAGATATAAATACAAAAAAACGAAGAAATAAACTCTCACAAAAAATCGGTTAATAGAGAATTAAATTAGAATATATAAAATTTTGTCACTTATTTATTTAATTGAACAAAAAATCTTGAAAGAATGAAAATAAAACGAAAATTTGCTTATGCTTTTATTGTTTACAAAACAGGTATAATATGAATGTTATAGAGATAGGAAACTTTCGTATGTATTATTGATCTATACATAATGTTTTAATATTTGTATTTTTGAAAATCAAGAGTTTCCAAAATGGAAAATCTAGATGTTTTATAATATTACTAGAATGGTACTCGCACAATGCAGCGAGATACATCTCGATTTTAATGTTTTGTTTTATTTCTTTATTTGTCTCATTTGATGTTATAATACGGTTTTATGTGGTTTTGATAAAACAATAATATTTTTATTTTTGAATAAAATATAAATATGAAGATGTCATAAAAAATTGAAAAAAAAATATTGATATTAGTATCAAACTAATAATTTAAAATTTCTCATTTTTTATGTAATTTTTTATTTTTGGTTTAATAATATAATTAAAGATAATAATTAAGTATTTTGTTAGAAGTCAATGACTATCCTTACTGTATTTTAGATTTTTTATATTTAAAATGAGATGCTTATCCTCTATTTGATTATGTTTATCTGTAGTTAGTTACATGAATTCAAACATGAAGCTTTAATAAGTTGTACTTACGTACAATTTACTTATAATCTTGAATTGTAGGTAATATGCATCAATAAACAGTATTTCATGCATGAAAAATGGTTTTTAAGAGTTTTGCCAAATGTTTTATAATATAATATAGATATGTACATATATAAATAGAAAGAGAGGTAGAATCATTTGTTAACCATTAAAAAGATGTTAACTACACAAACTTTTTAGACCAATGAGAAGCCATTTCTAATACATGTTCATTTCTCACGGTGTAGTTAATACTAAGGGTATCTTTGTAATTTTCTTTTGTTTTACTTGAAATCTAACTAATGAACTGTTACAAAACAATCAAACTGCCTTGATCGTAGCAACTTTGATGTTGTTCTTTTTTCCCCAGATTTTGTTTTGATTTTTTTGTTAATAGACTAAAAACATGGTTAATCAGCATGAACATATATACATTAATTCGACAGTGTTCTTTGAATTGAATCCCTTGTTTATGCAGTATGTTGATCGATAGAGGTAATGAACCATCTGACATCATAGGTCAAACTTTGAACAATGTTCAGACAATAGGTTCACATATTTGACTCAACATATGTTTCAATATATGAATTTGTGCTCGTAGCTGAAAGACGGTATCCAAATACATATACCATTGGTTAACATGTGTTCATAGGTGAAACCCAAGATCACAAAGTACTGTGCATATATGTGAAAGCCAAGAACTTCAGTGTTCATAAGTGTTCATAGGTTTTCATATGTGACATTGTGAACAATGTTCATGACCATTTTTATAACAGTTTTGAGCAAACTTAGAAGCGAATCTTTGTTCTCCTATTTTCAAGATTCTCTCGTGTTTTACTCTTTGTTTTTCTTGTTTTTCTTCTTCCGATAGTTTGATATAAACAACAACACAAAGTACTTGTTTGTGGGCTTTGAAAAGCACTTACATAATTTATCTACTTTTTCAGTCAAAGAATTTCATTGGGTTTTCCATCTTACAACTTCTTTTCTTGAAATGGTGATTTTACTGTTGCCCCTTTTTTATCCAAACATAGAAAATATTCTAATTGGGTTATCTCTTTCTCCCCCACCCCCCTTCCCCTTTAACTTTTCATACCTTGTTTCATAACTCTGAAATCCTCTCCCATTTCCTCTGGCTCCCGAAAAAGACATTGATAAAGATCGAATGACATTGCTTCTTCGACTAGAACCAAGGAATCCATTAGATATGAAGCAAATGGATCTTGTTCTATCCTTGTCAATGGCTCCATCTATAAAAAAAAAAGTGCAAGAAAGCAAAGAAAAACCCTAAAGAAGAACCAGGTTAAAACGAAGGAATCGATGGTTAAATCATGTTATGATAATTCAGTTTTGAAGAATATGGATCATGAGATAAGCAATATTGGATGTACAACCCCTAAAGCACATAAGTACCAGATACCAGAGATTCTAACCTGCCTATCGGCTCCAAACAAGAAAAGGCTCATTTCGAGTTCTACAATCACATCAAAACAAACAATAATGTTCATATGTGAAGGAGATTGAAGTCAGTTTCAACCAAATGAAGAAGAAATTACGCTTAGTAGCAGCATAAAAGATATATTGGTTATCTTTTCTAGAAACACCCCTGTTCTTCTATGTTTTGTTATCTTACATGTCTAATTAATTACAAACATGTCATAATTAATTACAAACATGTCATAATTAATTTCACCCGTAGATTTCAAAGATCAAGAGCCAAGATTAGTTTATATGGATAAAACAAATTATTGGGTTAACAAAAGAACCAGTCCCTATATATAGGAAGGTTCATGGGAAAATCCTCAAAAAATGAAAAACCGAGGAACACTTTGACAACTATTCATCTGTAAGGTATGCACATGTGCATATAAGTAATTGAAGTTTGTTTCTTGGTTTCTATGCACATGTACATACTGAACAAATTGCTTGCACATTACTTGTATGCACATCTGCATATCTTCCAGATTAACGATTACCAGGGTGTTCCTTAGTTTTTCATTTTTTGCGGTTTTTTCCTGAACCTGACCATATATATATATATATATATATGTGTGTGTGTGTGTGTGTGTGTGTGTGTATGTGTGTGTGTGTATATATATATGTATATATGCATGTATGTAGATAGATATTCCATCCCTTTGTTATAGGGTATTCGATGGGACAAAAATATCACAAAATTTCACCTAGATTCATCATGTCATACGGGTCGTTTACCAAACGTTTACCGGTAAGAACATCACTTTTACTTATTTTATCGGATAACATTTTCAACAATCAAAATTTATTGTTGATAAACGTCTTTTACCTAGTAAGTGTTTATCGAGTAAGAGTTTTCTCTCACTTACTGAGTAAGATTATCATTCATGGTCTCTTACCAAGTAAAATTATAAGTCATTACCAACTCACCTTGAAGATAAGTGACACCTAATAAACGCTTATTGGATAAGTGTTTGATAAACAATCTCTTAGATCTATTGTTTGCCAAACACGTGCGACAAAACTTTTTGTCTCGTCGTGTTCTTTATACCAAATGCAGCGGTAATTGAAGTACCTTAAAACAAAGGATTGATTAAAGTCAAAACTTTAAATAAGGACTATTTATGATATAATCTAATATCTTTGGGATAGTTTTTGGATTTTTAATAAACTTAAGAGGCTTTATTGAAACTTTTGGCAACGATAAAAGGTCCACGAGCGCACCTACTCAGATACGTATGCTTAAAGTCGAAATTGAGAGGAGAGAGAAATGGATAGGATGTTTTCAGTGGACGATATTGCGGGCCACTTTTGGTCGCCATCGCCGGCCGCCGCCGGTGCCGCCGATGAAGATGAGTCATCGTCTTCATCATCCGCATCGAAGAACAAGTCAACGCCGGCGATGATGAATCGCAGCATGTCTGAGTGGGCATTCCAACGCTTCCTCCAAGAGGCATCTGCACCACCGGAATCTTCGTCTTCTAGGCCCAACGATGTAGTCGAGATCAAGGATCAAGATGAGGTTCAAGACAAAAATCAGCCAATTGCCACCACCACTGCTACTTTGAAGAACAACGAGAGCGGGAGAACGACCGGCAGTGCCAGTGGTGGTGGTGCAGCAGCAGCTGCGACGACGTCGTTTGGTGCTTCTGTAGTTGGCGGACCTCCCAACGTTCCTATTGATTCGGAGGAGTACCAGGATTACCTCAAAAATCGTCTTAACCTCGCTTGCGCAGCTGTTGCTTTGACTAGGGTATATGCATATTTGTTTCTCTGGCATTTTTCATCTATACATGCTATTCTGCCCGTTGCTGAGTATAATACAAAGCTAGATTTGATATGAAAAAACTGTTTGCTATTTTTGATGTGTTTTGCTTAACCACTACGATGATTGCAAATAGAATTACATCTACAGATTCTAAGGGGAGAATGGAGATGGATCTTGTATGATTTAAATTGATTACAAGTGCAATTGCTTTGTCTTTTGGAACACAAATTTACACTTGTCACTTATGAGAGTTCACAAAGAAAATTAATAGCTATGAACTCCTATGAAACAAATTTATCGGTTAATTGTTAATGGTGGAGGGAGTTTAGTAGAAAGAAAAGTCTCTTCGTACCATGATGTGAACTGTGTCCCTTATCTTTGATAGAATTATTCCATTATTGCTCATTAATAGTTGTAGAATCAATGGTCCAGAGTGAAAAAGGGATTCTGTCCAAACCATTAAATGGATCCATTCTAGAAATTTCTTATGAGATATCTAATCGGGACAAAATAAACGTAAGGAGAGTGCACAACGACACTACAAAATGCTAAAGTTGATTTCTGGATGTGATTGACTTCAAATAAAACCTCCTCTCTATAAATTATGAAACTAGAAATGTCTTGTTCTTACTCATGTACTGTACCTCAGGTTGTGGATCTATTATAACTGCCTGATTCTACCCCAACATTTAGTTTTGCATTTTAACCATTTTGAATTGTGTCATATACCTTTATTGCAAATCATAAGCTATGTAACAGTAAAAGAGATCCTCTGTTTCATTCAAAGTGTTACATTAGGCTAAGATGCATAACAGATGGAGGCTTTCTATATAGAACCTATTTTTAAACTTCTATAGAGGAAGCCTTGCCATGTATCTTAGCCATCAAAAGGACTGTTACAGTGACAGCCTCATCCTGTCACAACGTTTGGCATTTCATATTCAAGCCTTTCAGATTCCATTCCTGAAGAATCCAAAACGTGATGGTTGGATGTTGTGACATTTGCTTACTACAGGTATCTGGTATATCTGATTCACTAACAAAACTCGATTGCAACTCCATTTATTTGGCATGTTTGTTTGATTCCCTTCTTGTTCCATCCATTAGAAGAAAGGGGCATGGAAGTGTTGACTTCATAGAAGGTTGTGCAATTGTACCAAGAAATTATTTGGTTAAGATTGTAGAATATAGAATAAGGGAGCCAAAGAGATACACAATGGGGATCATTAGTGTAAAGTGTAAATTTATCTCGATGTTATTTGGTCATTTGGTAGAATCGATGTCCTAGTAATTTGTATTTAGTAGTTTATCTAATATTAAAATTGTTAAATCTTTTCTTAACTAAGAATTATTAATCATTCTAACATCTCTCTTTGTCTCCAAGTGGTATTAGGGTTGCTTTGAGTTGTAATCCTAAAGATGTTACTACCAAATCAAACATATCTAGCATTTCACTCACCAATAGGAACGTGAGTTGGGTTTAGACCCTTGTGAGATAGGGTAGTCTTACTCTACTGAAGATGGTGTCACAATAGTATTTCAACCTAGTATGAGAGGAACCATTGAAAGTAGGGTTGGGGAATGTACTTAAGTCTTGGACCTTTCTTCTACACCAAAGGTAGAGAGTTTGTTTCTGTGAAGACCTTTGGTTTGCAAAAAAGGTTTTGGAGAGACGACTCGGACGAGAGAGAAATGGAAACTTTGTCATTTTTTAAGTTTATACTTGAGAACAGTTTGAAAAGTTTTTGCAAGCAAGTAACAAGGAGAGTAAACAGTAACTACAATAAGTACATATGCGAGAAAAAAGGGTTCAAACCAGCCAAGGCAAGTAAAGCCAAGAATAAAGTGCTCAAACACCAAACCACTTAAAATGAAGTAGCAGGACCAAATCCTCTTACTCCAACCATGCCAAGACATTTCTATCTTATCTGTCATCTATCTAACCCCTCATCTATTGTAGCTACTAATCCCCATAAAGAATGTGTTATCCCAGATTCCCAGTCTTGTATCTCCAAGACATCCTATTAGAACTAATTGGAAAGGTCTAAGACTGCCATGTCGATCCTCAGCTGCTCATCCCATGTTCTTGGTTTGTCCTCCTCACCCCCTCACCTGTTATGCTCTCCACCCTCCTCATTGGAGTTGTCAATTGTCTCTTAAAATGGCCAAACCACCATAACCTTTCCTCTGTCAGTTTATCGGCAATAGGCGCAACCCCCAGCTCTGTCTTAATGACCCTGTTTCGTGTATGATAGTCCAACATGGTTCAACCACATGTCCATCTTAGCATCCTCATTTCTGCAACTTCCAACTTCCTATCAAGGACCGTCTTTATTGGCCAAACTCAGACCCATACAATGTGCTGGTCTAATAGCCAGTAGCCACCTTGTACTCCTGTACAAATTTCCCTTCAGCTTTAGTGGGACCTTCTTGTCACACAACACCACTGTGGCAACCCTCCACTTTAACGAACCGGCCTTTATGCAGTGTGTAACATCCACTTCAACATCTCCCTCTTTTTGAATCATGAAGCCTAAATGCCTGAAATTGTTCTTCTGGGGTACCCTTTCTCCCTAATGTTGACTTCTACCCTCACGGTGTTACGCTTCCTGCTTGCATTGCACCATAGGCAGGGTGAATATATTTTTGATGTGCTGGGCAGTTTTCTCGACGAGGTGAATGGTCTATAATTCTATTTAAAAACTAATAACAATGACCATCATAGTTGCTCATCTTTGCATTTTGTTGGTGCCTTGTCCTATTTACTAATAAAGTATGGATTAGTTTCACCAATTAGCACCTCACCTCATGTTTCTTTATTGCTGCTTCTTGAAATTTAATACTTGTTCACTTTCTACTTCTTGATTATTTGTAAATATATTTATTTTTGTGTTTTGTATTTAAAGAAACATTATTTACAAGCCGTACTTTGATGAGGTATGCTTTACCTTATACTTTACACCTAGGCCCAGGGAGAGCTTTGCTTCCCATGCCTCCAATAACAAAAGCGATTGATCGCTCTCTCTACATTATGTATGAAGGAGTTTCAGTTTTCATATGCTGACAAAACAAACTCATAACACCTAGGTTTTGTTTAGGCCTAAAAAATTCATGCATGGACCAGTTCACTATTTTGATTGTAGTACACATCTGAATTGCTCTTTGTGGTCATTGTAAACCAAGAACAGCAACCAGTTAGCACGTATCTCATTTTCAGTCTGAAGTCTTGCTTATTGTTAGAATTTTATAGAATTTGCTTATGAGAAAGAAAAGGGAGATGTGCATTGTCATCCTAAAGAAGGAAGAGCGATTAATTGAACCTTTTGTAATTTCCTTTAATATCCAAGCTACAAACTTTGAGATTTCAATTAGAGTAGAGGGCTTGTGAGGAAATAGAAGACATGACAAAGAGTAAGAGAGTTGATAGGGCTATAAAAATAGAAGAAGAAATGTAGAGAACATTAGAGCCTTCTCATTTTTTTTTTATTTTATCATTTTGCCTTTTTTTGTTTTGATCCTCCTATGAGTAGGAAATATAGAAACATGAATACTTATCATTATTGATTTATACCTTGAAATTGCCTTTCATCTTGTTATGTATGGATTTATGAAATTAAAATTGAAAACAGTAATGGTTATTGCAGTTTGTTTCTAGTTTTGAGTCAGTTTTCTCTCTTGTTGCATGATCCTTGATAGCCTTTCTTTTTTTTTTTTTCCGGATTTGGGATCCCTTTTTTTTCTTGAATTTCTTATTCACTTCTATATAATAAGCATATGAATTTTGTATATTGGGATTGTGTATCTTTATATGAATTATTTTTCTAGCTGTGGTAAAGGCACTTTCCAAGTTGCCTCATTTGCTATATTTCGCTCTTGCCTCTTGCTAATTGGTTGTGCCTCAACTTGGGCTGCTTCTAGAAGGGTTGTGCATTTAACCTGCTTGTAGAGTAGGTCAACTAAGTTGTATTTGATCTAGGAATCCTTATAGCATTGTTCAGCAATTAACAAAATAAATTGTATACATATAGTACTAAATAAACCTGAAGAAAACTAATAGCAGGCAGAACAAAAGAAAATGAATATCGAGCTACTTTAAAACCCTTCACATTGTGTTCTGTTTACATTGTTCATTCAGGGAAACTTTGATATCTACTATTTGGGCCAATTAGCCCAATTAATTCCTTGAGGTGGATGAATAATTTGCTTTCAGTTTAAGATTTTCTTTTTCTAAGGCAATATGTAACTTGTATAGCTCACTCTTTCCCTTAGGCATCTTCTGCAAAACCTCAAGATTTTGCTGCTTTACTTGACAATGGATCACAGGCCTCCAACACCTCGCAGTTGGGATACCAGGCTCCTGCTAAAGGTTTGTGCCTTTAACTTCTTAGAAATTAGAAATTTAGTCTATCAAGTTCCTTAGGATAGCTCTATAAACATAAGCACTGTTTAATGTGCGGGCATGTGCCTGGATGTATATGTACATCATCTTCCTTTTTCTAGGATAGCAATAATGCCAACTTAATATGTAACTTGGTCAGTCATTCATCAGTTGTAGGGGCATAGGGCTCGGTGGCATAGTTGGTTCAATTGAGCATCACCTTAATCGTAAGGTTCATCTCTTAATTACCATTGGCTGATTGGAAGAATCGAAGTTTATCTATGTACTGATTTAACTTGGCATATAGATGCAACAAAGAATTGAGATGGTATATGTCAGTTGCCTAACAATCCTAGTTAAAACAAGAGACTGTATTGGTGCTCTTCTCATCATGTGTCCTCTATTTCTTTTAGTCATCCATCGTTATTATCTTTTAAGACTTACGCATGTTGGTAGAAGTGAGAGCAACCTTGGGAAAATCTTCTATGGATAAACATCATATCAGTCTTCTGAGAATATCTCACCAGTAGTTGAATAGATTGTGGAATCTCTTAAAAAGCAGCAAAATGAGGATAAGTGAAATTCTGGAGGCATTTGTTTATGAAACAGCCAGAAACTCTAAAGCACCAGGACATTTTCTTTATAGAAAGAGGGAGCAAAGAAACACAAATTGACCTGAAAAAAAATTTAGTTGCACAATACCATACGATATTAGTTCCATATTTTCTATATCGGCTAGACATACATTTGTCAATTGTCTTCGTCTATTTCTCTTACGGTTTTTTTGTGTCTTTCCAAATAAATTAGTTTATGGCCTGAAAGATGATCAGGTTAATTGAATACTGTGTGCTTAATTTGTTTCTGTTGCATGGATAGTGTCAGGGTTTGATCTCAAGGGACCAGGTAAGGATGGTGGGGGACCTATTGGAATCCCTTCCTTGCAGGGTATACAAAAGAAGCCTGCAATCCCAGTGAAATCAGCAACAAGTGGGTCATCACGAGAACTATCGGATGATGATGAGCTTGATGGAGATACAGAAACAACTCAGAATATGGACCCCACAGATGCAAAACGTGTTAGAAGGTAAGTAGGGTTTCATGTTACTTCCAACTTCTATCAGCATGCTTAATCGTGAAAATGGAATTTGTAAATGCTACTTTTCTACCATGGTGAAGAGTATGTAAGATATAAATCAAACCAAACCAAACAAACGCAATATAACCCACCCAAAGAGTAGAGAGGTTTTTCAAAGTGTGTGAAAAGAAAGGATAAAGCTTGCCCAAAAAAATTGCAGAAAAGAACTTGAAAATAAGAAAGGCAGTGCTAAAAATTTGAAAATGAGTCAAAAGTAAGCAACATTCAAATAGACAGACAAACAAACATACAAACAGAAGCAGGTACAAGAAAATATGACCAAGGCAGGAATAGACGAAGGATTGTGTGAGAATAGGAGTTAAGGTGAGAAGCGTAAGAAGGGATTTGAACCCTTAGATCACTTTTAATCTCTCCCCACCCATGAATTGCGCTTCTCACGGTAATTGACTAGGTGCATCTCACTAGTGTTGATATAAGGGTGGAGATCCCTTCTTACCCTTCTCACTATAACTTTCATTCTCACCGGAACTCAACCCTGTAGGAATAACTACACAACCCTAGTCTAACCTAAGACTCAATCTAACTGCTGGATCACTAACTCTACCCTGATCCTCCATCTCTCCATATGCTTTCCCGTACATCTATGAAAGATGTCATGTTTTATTTTCTTTTTAGGATGCTATCGAACAGAGAATCTGCTAGACGTTCAAGAAGGAGAAAGCAGGCCCATTTGACCGAGCTTGAGACACAAGTTTGTTTCTTGTCTCCGTCTTTTCTTTTTTCAGATAAAGTTAGACAAACAGCCTAATTGAATCATGTCTTCTGTGCTTGTTTGTAGGTTTCTCAATTAAGGGTTGAAAATTCTTCGCTACTGAAGCGTCTTACTGACATAAGCCAAAAGTACAATGAAGCTGCTGTTGATAATAGAGTGCTGAAAGCTGATGTTGAAACAATGAGAGCGAAGGTCAGTACTTCATGTTGATTTTTTTAGTTACATTAGTAGAGAACTACTACAACCACAGTCGTTTTGTCGATCAAACCAAACGAGCCCAGTGTATCCTTCCTGGAGGTGGGGTCCAAACCCGGGGGAAAGATGTACACAAACCTTAACTGCTGTTTTCACTTGGGGAGGGGGTAAGATGTCATTTTGTTGACTGAATCCCCTAAAAAATATCTTCATTCTCATGGGAAAGTCATGGATTTAATTAAACTCTTTTTAAGGTTATATACCTAACTATCCCGGATGTGGTTTGGATGGGGTTATTTAGGAGAGTAGCTTTTCTAACAAATACTATTTTTAAATGCATGTCTTTCTTACAGATTTAAGAACGGCTCTGCCTAACAGAACAATGCCTATTATTAAAAACATTAATGTCTCAAAATTTGTCGGAAGGTCATGCATTTTAAAAAATATGTCAGAAGGTTATTCTTCTGAATGACCCGCTTGGGGATGTACATAAACCTATCCACTATCCTAAAAAGTAGAGCGGTTGTTTCTGTGAAGACCTCAGGCTTGTTAAAAATGTGAGATGAAAAGAAAAAAGAACCAAGACCAGTCGATAGTAAGCAAGAGCGGAAAAATAATGGTCATAGAAACAAATGCTGATAAATTTATCGAACATATACACAGGTTAAGATGGCCGAAGAAAGCGTCAAAAGAATTACCGGCTTTAATCCAATGGTCCAAGCCATGTCGGATTTATCAACAATGGGACCCATGCCATCATATTCTTGTAGCCCATCTGATGCATCCGCGGATGCTGCTGTTTCTCAAGACGACATGAAACAACAACACTTCTACCAGGGCCAACCTCCTCCTCCACCTACCACCACCAACCACCACATCCCCGCCACGCGACCACCGCCACAAAACATGGTAAACCTGCCGCCGGTCGAAAACGTTCAACAACACAATCCCGTGATGTCGGAAGTCGGGAATCAGAAGATGAATAGAACAGCATCAATGCAACGTGTGGCGAGCTTGGAACATTTACAGAAACGGTTTCGTGGGGACGTTGGATCGTCTTGTGGGACCACCACCCAGGGCAGCACCGGGGACCGCTAGCAGAATCTATCGAAAGAAAGGTACTCTTTTAAGAACCGTATTCTAATTTTAACAACTCTCGAGAGTACCCCGATCTCTTATCGTCATTTTTATATGCAGTGGCTTAATCGGAGAGCCTAATTTTGGAGTCTCTTTTTTGGTGTCAAAAATCAGTTGGTTTTCTCTGGTATTTGAATTGTGCATATTTCTTCCTCTATTGGGATGTCTTTGTTCTTAATCGGACAATTGAAACATGGAATTTGAACCAATTTGATGGATTTCGTATGTTTCCAAACACTTCTTTTTATGTTTTACGATTTTTTCCGCAAAAGAAACGAAATTCGTTGCATGAAATCCTTCGATAGAAGTCACGAATAGCAGTTGGCATGAACCATTCGGCCCCGTTAAGGGAACAAAGATCTGTTGTTCCCAAATTCCCTTCCCAGCAGTCATGTAAAATTATATCATCAGGAGAAAGAATGAAAAGATGAATTAAATAAAATAATAACGTGTATATAGAATTGAGGATCGCTTGGGCATTCTTTGGCGGACTTGTTACGAAACTTGTTTTTTAAAATTTTTGTATCGTGATGAATTTACGTTCTTAATTTTTAAGAGTTATAAAATAACTTCATGTATTTTCGTAAAGTTAATCTTTACGATTTTGACATCTAGTATGAGTTTTAGTAGATGATGTTTTTTTAATTTATAATTAAATGAATAAATAATGTGGAGTTGAATATGAACATTTAGAGCAATAAATAGCTTTTTTTGAACCAATAAGAGATTTTTTTTTGTCAAACCACTTTAACGGTAGGGGTGTTCAAAAAAACTGTCAACCTGCAAAACCTGCTAACAATCCAATTAAACCCAATCTGCCAAACCTTTCATCCGTCAAACCGCTAACCCGTCAATTAGGAGGGTTGAAATTGGGTAGATCCTAGCCCAATCCGCCGTTAATATATAATTTGTATAAAATTTTATATATATATATATATATATATATATATATATATATATATACTTGGGATCATATGAAACCAATGATTTTTCGTGAGACCTGTAAGACCAATTCTCAACTCTTGAATTAGATCTACAATCTCAACATCCATAATCACAAAATTGCCACGAGACTTCTCAATAATTACAAAATTGTCACCGTGCAATTTTAAACCATTAGATCATTAGCTTATAAAGTTGATCAATGAACATAAATTGGTCTCACGGGTCTCACGAAAAACCCTTGGTCTCATGTGAACCCAACCCTATATATATATATATATATATATATATATATATATATTATTAATGCATAAATTTTATATAATTTTTATTGATATTATATTTTGTTTCATTTTAGCTAAACGTATTGGTTATCAAAATAGATTCACGATCAAAGAATGATAACAAATAATTTAATTAATAAGAAAAACTATTGAATTTTTTTTTGCAACAACAAATTGATATGTTGGAGAATATGAATGATATTGATAGATATTTGATGGACGAATTATCAATCTATGACGCTTTTAAAGAGTTATATTAGAAAAATATTTTATCTAAAAGAGTTACAATATGTTTATAGGATGATTTTGGACATCTTAACAAATTCTATGATGCTTTTAAAATAAAGTGTCGTATTAGTTATTTTATACAACACGACTTGGAAAAATGTCATATGAACATAGGTGGCCTATAAATAAATGAGTTTACGGGACACTTCTTAAAACGTTTCTATAAAATAACTAATACGACATTTTATTTAAATATCATTCTAAAACACTTGTTGAAACATTCAAAAACGTCCTATAAACCTATTGTAACCTTTTTAAATAGGACGTTTTATAGTATGGTCCATAAACTTAAGTTTTATGAATTATTTCATTCGTTAAATTATGTAACTACTAACCCGCCAACCTAACCCGCAAGGGTTGGGTTGGGTTATACTTTTGAATGTGTTGGGTTGGGTTGGGTTGAGATTTTTTCAAACCGCCATAATTGGGTTGAGTTGTAAAATTGTTGTAAACTGCCTAATCCAACCCGCATACACCCCTACTTAGCGGTTCAGATGCTGCATGTTGATGAAACTATCAAGAGGTAAACAGATAGCTTCTTAGTTTTAAGATTTTTTTTATTGATGGAATATAATTAAAAAAAAATTGTATGATAATCATTTTTTTGGAGGTTGTTTAACATTTGAAGAATTTTATACTTTTATTTTGTCAGTTTTGGAGTTGGAGCAAAAATTTTGTTAAAAATCCTAGAATCTTTTATTTTCTCCATTTTTAAAAATCTTTAAGGAAATTTTCAAGAAATTCTCTATAAATTTTTTAAAATATAAGATCAAAAGTTACAATCTTTAACTAAAATTATATTTAACTTCAATAAATTCTTTGTTTTATAGATTTTAAAATTCATTACATTATTAAAATATTCCATGATTTTTGTCGTCCCAATACAATTTTAAAATATATATATATATATATATATATATATATAATAATTCAATTTTATTAATGAGAATAAAATAAAGAATATTTTTTTCTTATATTAAGTTGCAGAAAATTTGAATTTTTTTTCTTCATATTTTGTGTATTTTGAAAAAAATATAATATAAAGATGTGGTAAAAGAATAAAGCATAAAACTTATATTTTGGTATTTGAAAGAAGACGATGTCTATTTTAAGCAGATAGAGACATGTTAAACATGAAAAACGTGGTCAACATTTTAAGATGGAAAGTGTAGATTGGTGGCTGTTATTTATATTTCCCCATATTATATGTTTTTTTAATGATATTTTGTTTTTTTGTTACATCTATTTTTTCTTAGAGTAAACACTAATTTAGGTCCTTGAAGTTTTAGTGAAATATTTGAAAGTGAGACCTGAATTTTGATGAATCTAAAAATCGTCTTTGTGGTTCTCATTTACTTTGAAAGACATTTTAGTTTTTTTTTACCTATTTTCTTAAATATTTTTTAAAAAAATATGATAATATAATTTATATATTAATTGATATATTGTTTCTTAAATTATATATTATATTTTTTAATGTTATATATTAAAAAATTAAACAATATATAAATTATATATTATATTTTTTAAAAGAATGTTTAAGAAAATAAGTAAAAAAACTAAATTATATATTTGTTTTCTTATAAACACGTAGATTTTATAACTTATAATTCAAAAGGGGTCTATAAAACTTAGGAAATAACGACATTTACGCACCAAGAACTTGGAGTACCCACATAAATGCAAAATGTCATCCCTATCTTTTTTTTTTTATTAACCTAAAAATTCATCCAACCCGCTATGCGAACCGACTAATCACAGGGTGACCACATGCTTTGCGGATAATCCGAAATCACTGCATTTGAACCTCTACCCATACACTTTTAATCTTTGGAGACCAAACTCAAATCAGTCAGATATCACCCTTGTGGTTTGTCATCCATATCTTTGGATAACATAGTTTGGAAACCTTCATTTTGGTACTGAAAATGTGATATTTCAAACATTTATGTACTTAATTCTTCAAACCGAGGGGTATTTTTGTCTTTTTATTATTCCTTTAGTTTTCTGTAAAAAATATTATATTATATTATATTAAACTTTTTATTATACAATGGCTCACAGCACTGATACAAGTATTGAGACATTGAAACATCAAACTCTTTTTAACTTATTGTTTCCTCCACCTCCATTACCCAACTCCCTTACCCAACTCCAGTTTATAAAAAGACAAAAATACCCCCAAAACAGTTATTTAAATATTTGAAATATCGTATATGAAGTAATAAAATGAAGGTTATCAAAATAAGAATCATACCGAACCCAAGTATGTTACATTATTTTCGTAACGTCTCAAAAAGTCTGATTGAGAAAAAAAAAACGGAGAAATGAATTCATATCACTGCAAGCAAATAACAAGCATTTTTCTTAACGATCAAATCAAACAAACTCAGTAGATGCCATACAAAGATAGGTTCGTTTACGAAATCTAGTTCAAATATAAGCTAAATAATTGTATCTCTAACATGTCGAATACACGCCATCAGGTTTCACATCAAACCTTTCTATAAACTGACCTTCGTGCTTTTAACGTCTTCGATTTCCTGCTGAACGATCTCAAGCCCACCAGTTTGTGGCTCTTCAAGCAGTTCGGGTTCCTTTTTCAGCTCTGTTTCAAATTCTTTTGCTGCCTGCACAACTTCACTGGTATTAGAATCCGGATTTCCGTATTTTCCGTTTGGCGTGTGGTTTAATTGGAAAAAGAAAATGTAGACACCTACTTCACATACCATCAAGTTCTTTATATTTTGGTAACCGTGGCTGTCCTGGCCAGTTTACGTACTAATCCCATGGGTCCTATAGATAACAAGAAGAAAAACCGACTGGCTAGCCACCTATGGAGTGGGGCCCACATACCATCAAGCTTACCACTTAATAAGATGGTATGAACAGAGAGGATAAATCAGCTGGTATCTTTGATTGTGATCTCAGGCCTGACCAATCCCAATTATTAACCCAAGAGAGGCTGTGACTGGTTAGGACCCGAACCAATTTCCTTTTATGTGTTTCTGGGCTCATTCAAGGATGTAAAATCTCCCAATGTGTGAAAAGAATCAATCCAAAACGACCCCCTAATTCAAATAGGGTCATTCAAGGATGTAAAATCTCCCAATGTGATAAAAGAATCAATCAAAGCGACCCCCTAATTCAAATAGGCTCATTCAAGGATGTAAAATCTCTCAATGTGATAAAATCTATCAAAAAGAACCCCCTAATCAAATCAGGAATTTGTTGGGTACCAAAAAGTTGTAGTTAAGCAGCAATGCTGATTAGCAGTTTGAACCGTTGTCCTTCGGTTTCGGTCTTAAAACAATTCACATACATAGAATAACACGATAAAAGGAAGAAAGCAAAGTTCGATTTGATTGAAATAGTGAGAAAGAATAAATATTACTGTTGGCACAAACAGTAACATCTATGACCTGTTGTCTTTGTTTCACTGTTTTATAGCATATCCCCCTCCCAAGCAAACCATCAGTAATTCACTAGACAATAGCATGCTGACTTTAATTAGGTTCTCTATAAGCAATTCCCAACAATTTGAGCCACCCCCACCTGGGTAAGCTTTCTTTCCCTATTTGATACCAGCCAAGATGTAATTTCTGCAAGTTTGGTTGTCCATGAATTGACCGGACGAACAAGCATGAGGACGGAAACTGAAATAATTTTGGAAGGTTTCAGGGTTTTAATTTGGCGTGGCTAGGTTCATAATTTACCTAACTTGTTCCATCTCCTTGATTTTTCGTTCCGCCTATTTTGACTGCACAAAAAGAATTGCATTTTTGTCCCATCAGGTCAATTCCTATCGCGGTCTAGCATCACACCGAACATGGAACAACAGGTTTTTGTACTGTCTTGTCTCATCGTGTTCCGCATACCAAACACACCTTTGATACTAAATGTCAAGTAGGAAGGATTAGGTTGTACCATAGTTGGTTCCAGGTGGTATACTTGCACAAACCATGGCTTTAAGATTCCAATCAACAATGAAAGAATGTTATCCAGCAAGTTGCATAACATTACTTAAGATTTCATTAGGTTGGCTAAAAGGGTTGGTGCAATCTCCATCTGATGCAGCCTACACACACTATCAGACTTTTGACATCATTAAGGGCGATTGTGCAGAACATTTTTTTCTATGTAAATTGATCTTCAAACCAAACAACATTTAAACCTTAAAAAAAACATCATAAACCCTAATTCCCAAAAAAGAGATGGATTATGTTCGTCTGAAAGTAGAAGCACTGGATCTTCGCAGTCAAATTGGTCAAAAAAACTTGTTTATTCGTTATGTGAAAGGAAAGTAGCATAAAATGTTGGAATATATCTACTTATCTATGGTGTAAATATTGATTATACTCTTATCTATGCCCTAATGACATTATCTACCTTAACTAATTAATGGCAATTTTTTGATGGCCGTATAACTAACTAACTATAAATAGGTGGTCTTTTCATGTGTGAGATGTCATAAGCAGAAAGGAGAAATCAAAATTTCTCTCTAAGAAATAACACCATCACTTGTGGAATCCCTCCATCGGATTGGTGGCATCATCACCGGAATATTGACTCATCCTAACGCTATGGCTTCCTCCTCTAATGTCAATCCAAAATCGATGCTACCAAGTAAGTTTTACTCAATGTTTTAAAATCGATGATTGATGATCCTGAGTTTAAATCCTGGTAGATGTTTTAATTAACATAAAAAACAAACTGAACTAATAGAGATCAAAAGCAAATCAAAGTGTAAAGCAAAATCAGACCTGTTGGAAGCTCTTGAAGGTTTTTCCGATGCTCCGACCTACCTCCGGCAGCTTCTTTGGGCCGAAAACAAGGGTAGCGACTCCGGCAATAACGACCAACTCCGGCACGCCAAGTCCGAACATACAATTACAAGAAAAACCGCTTTTTTTGGCGTTAAGTGGAATGGATCTGAGGGTCAAGGGTTTGAATGTGTTGGTGACGAAGGATGAATTTGAAGAAGAAAAGAGAGTGGTTGATGGTGTTGGTAACGTACGTTGTGAAATTGGTGGTGTATAGAGTGAGGTAAGGTTTGAGGAAGCCGATGAAATCGCCATTTTTGGAGAAAATTGGATCAAAATTTACAGAAAAAATGGTGGAAAGATGACGTTGTGGGTTGCAATTAATAGTGAAAAGAGGGTAGGTAGAGTAGAGTCATTGACCATCGAAGATGATGATCATATCCAAATATATATTTTCTATTTAAATCAATAAACATGTGGGTTTTTTTCACATATGTCGAGATTATATTACAATAAAACATTTTCTAGATATATAAATCTCAGATTAAAAACGTCATTTACAGTGTTTTGTTGTGAAGGTTTACTATTATTTAACGAAACAAATCTGGTTTCACATGATCCCAAGTCATTAGAAATGATATAAACTTTGAATAAAACAAATTTAAAATATATAAAAATCGGATGTGTCTTTATTTAATTGGTAGAACAGGGATTAGACGTATGACGTCAAGACAACATGTTTTTATCTGTCATTTAGCGACGAGAAAAGAAAACCCGACGGAATCCCGATACTTAAATTTGGTTTGAGTGGGGATGGATAAAATGTCAAACAATGTTTTGTTTGTGAAAGAAAAAAACACAAAAATATGTTTATACATGAAAAACACACCTAAACTTGTATACAAGACCAAAATATTTTAAACAATATGAATATGCAAAGCTTATTTGATAGTTTGGCTTTTACATGTGTTGTTTTATTTGCTGAATAATATTTGAAATTGGTTTTCACATTTTCGAATTTTTAGCGGGTTTCTATCTGATTTGTGGTATATGTATATAGGGTCAGGTTCAAATGTTAACCAAAGTTTTTGTGTTAACTTTGTTAACCGATCTTGGCCATTGAATCTTTCAATAAACATAATAAGAATAGCTGCTACACGAAAAGAAATAAATAAAAAACAGGTATGAACACAATATAAATAGTTTGTGAACAATAGTTCCTTCATTATGAACACATTTATGAGCGATCATTTGTCAAATGGAGTTTTATACATGCATTGCATCCACACCGTTTAAGGTTCGTCTTATGGTATCTCCTCTCACCGGACTGAAGAGCCATAGAATCAAAATACTTTTTATTTGGTATTCCCTCCCTACTACATACAAACCATCTTATTTGTATGTCTTCATTCTTGTTTGTTTTTTTTGGCATGAAGACGAATATCAAACCCGACATTGTTCGCATACGTCCTGTACATCTTTTCCGCTTCATTTATAGATACGAATTGTGCGTTGATCTTTGGTTTAAGCTCGTCATCAACATTGGGGATAAAATACTTGCTTCCATTTGAACACTCTCCGACATCGTATTCCGTTTCATGTTTAGAGGGTGTAAGTATGTGAACACCTATTGATACCATCATAGTTAGTAAAATCAATGAACATTAATATTACATAACTGGAGTAATCAACTGCAACAACCAGAAAATAGATTTATTTGGTGTGAGCAATCATTAATGACCATGAGATGATTAATGTGAACATATATGAACATGAACATATATGAATAGCAGGTGAGATCTATTTGGTTCGAGTTCACAAGTTGTTCATAGACTAGAATAATTGACATGAACATATATGAACAAATTATGTATAGGTTTATTGGGTGCGAGTTAGATCAATCATTATTGACTATGAGATGAGTAATGTGAACATATATGAACATGAACTTATATGAACAGCAAGTGAGATCTATTTGGTTCGAGCTCACAAGCTGTTTATAGACGAAAATAATTGACATGAACAAATTATGAACATGATCAAGCCACATAGGAAGAGAACATCGTATGTTCATATATGAACACATAACCCCCATACTATGAATGTCGGGTGCAATCATTTACACAATTTGACATATATGAACACCAGGTGCAAGAACGGTGCTTATATAAAGATTTTGGAGCAAATTTTTAACCAACGACTCGGTAAGTTGACATGAACATATATGAATAGCAGGTGAGATCACTAACAGAAACCGATATTCATATGATGGGGGTCATTAACATGAATGTATATAATTGTGAACATGATGAAGCCACATAGGAAGAGAATATCGTAGAAAATATATGAACACATAACCCCCATCATATGAACACTAGGTCAATCACTTACACAAATTGACATATATGAACACCAGGTGCAAACACTTAAACAAATATAAAGATGTGGGATCTAGCTTCAAAAATAACACAAAATTTCGTTCATGAAGTGTTATATATACTCAAATGAAAGTAGTAACATGAACACAATGGTACATGATTCATAAAAGTCGGATATATGACCATATGAAAATGGGTCATGCATGGAATTCCATTTAAACATGTGAATTAGGTACGCATTAATAATTAAAGAAAAAGCTACCAAAACAATATAAACTACAAAAAACACAACACATCATAATGAACATAATTTCGATTAAAACGAGTACAATAAAATATTAATCCATTACCAAGACATTCGCTTTGGTTATTTTCTTCACTTCCCGAACTCGAACTCCGATTGTCACCATAAACCATTTTAATATTCTCAATGTTGTCGAGTTCTTTTCCAATGCGTTTATCCATAATAGCTTGAATGATATCGAAGATTTTTACTACCGTGTTTCCTCCACGAATCACAAACTCATAAAACAATAAAAATGGAAGATCAATATTAAAAAAAATATCAATATTAAAAATGCACATTTTTAGGGATTTTATAATTTTGTAACTCCCAATTAATGATATGAGAGTTACATAAAAAATGAAATTACTCAACTACCTTTGGCATTAAATTGTAAGCTATATAAAAACCTAATAGAAACATGGATTGTGATTGGTTGAAATGGTTTGTAAAGTTAACACAAAAACTTTGGTTAACATTTTATCTTACATCTATGTGTGTGTGTGTGTGTATATATATATATATATATGTGGTTGGGTTTCGATGAGAATGAGAGTTAATGTGAGAAGCGTAATAAGAGATCTCCACCATGGAATGCACATTAGGATGAGAGCTTCAGAGATGCATCAGATCAATCCTCATATCAAACACAACTCATTGGTGAGTTTGAAATTAAAGGTGATAAAGAGCTCAGATCTCTTCTTATGCTTCTCACCTTAACTTTTCTTCTCACACGATCTTTATATAGGGTTGAATTCCATGAAAAGTGAAGTTATGGTGAGAAGTGTAAAAGAGATCTCCATCCTTGGATCAATAATAATTAAATGTCAACACTAATGAGGTGCACCGAGATACACTGGATCAATTATCTTCTAAAGAGCAAGTCATCATGGGTAGACATGAGATTAAAATCGATCAAGGGTTCAAATATATTTTTATGTTTCTCATCTTAACTCCTAATCACACTATCCTTCGCCTATAATACACACACACACATATATATATAACCAAAAGTTATTTTGAGAAGTAAAGAAGTGATCTTGGCTCTTCATACAGTCAAGATCGAATTTGACTGGTCAATAATTGCATTGACTGGTCAATAATTGTGGCTATATGAAAAATAGAAAGAGTAGTTTCGTAACTTCTACAATTAGGCGTCAAACAGGTTCATATATGAATTTATGTGATTCACATATGCACTATATGTTCATATGTGAACTCATTTAATTCACATATAAAACCGTGTGATTCATATATAAACTAATTAATTGATTCATATATGAACTTTTATGATTAACATATGAACTAATTAATTGATTCACATATAAACCCGTGTGATTCATATATGAACCGATTAACTGACTCATATATGAACTTGTAGGTTTATATATAAATCAGGTAAATACTTCACATGTGAATTAATTAACATGTTCACATTGAACCTATAGTTCATATGTGTATTACATGGGTTTACATATGAACTCGTGTGCCGCCTATTTGTAAAAGTTACAAAACTACCTCTCTATTTTCTGCATACCCATGCAAGGAATTATCTGGTGCTTCACGGTCAAAGCCGCAATGTTTACCAGATGAAGGGCTAGGATCATTTCTTTACTTATCAATTATTTATCATTTCTCAAATGAACATTTCCATATATGTATATATATATACGTATTTATATATTTATATATACGTATTTATATATATACGTGTATATATATATATATATATATATATATATATCAATCCCCGTATCAAAGGCAATTAAGGTGAGAAACGTAAGAAGGCATCTGGATTCTTGATCACCTTTAATCTCAAACTCATCCATTAACCGAGTTTAATATGGAGATTGATCTCGTGCATCTCGGTGCATCTCATCTTAATGTATATTCGAGGGTGGAGATCTCTCCTTACGCTTCTCATTTTAACTTTTATTCTCACCATAAACCAACCCTATGTATGTATGTATGTATGCATATACATATACATTATATATATATATATATATGTGTGTGTGTGTGTGTGTGTGTGAGAGAGAGAGAGAGAGAGAGAGAGAAGATCCATAGAGAACCTTAAAAAATAAGAACCAGAGAACCACGAAAAAACGGATAAAAAATATCAAAATAGATGTCAAATTATAGATAATATGGTGATCGTTTTTTTGGTGTAAGGTCTTTCGCTCCAGTTTTGTTATATTCCTCCGATTTTCAATTTAAAAAATGGGGATGCTATTTTTATTCTTTTTGAAAACCATATTCGTTGAATCATTTTAACTTAACGGTTTTGATAAGTTCTTTGGTTCTTTTTTTTTTCCAAGGTTCTCTCTCGATCTCAATAAAATGGGAAACACGTTGTGTACATAAATATATCCGGTGTTTGATAATAAAAACGTATACAAGGATTTGCATAATTGGTTTGATTGTTTGTAGAGAAACTTTTGATGATATAATACATGGTTGTATAAAGTTTTAGTTATTAAGTATTATGATTGATATATTTATTTTTGAACTACATTTGTACGATGCTACTCTTATACAAATGCAACAACTAAAATTTTGTTGATTAATTTTTTTTGCATTATATGTTGTTTTTACATGAAATTTGACACACACACACACACACATATATATATATATATAGAGAGAGAGAGAGAGAGAGAGAGAGACAAAAGATCGTGTGAGAATAGCAGCTAAGGTGAGAAGCTTAAGAAGAGATCTGAACCTTTGATCATTTTTAATACAACCAACACCTTATGAATTGCGTTTGATACTGGAATTGATTGTGTTGATCTTCAATTAAAATTGATCTGAGGGTGGAAATCCTTACTTACCCTTCTCACCATAACTTTAATTCTCACCGTAACCTATATATGTGTGTGTGTGTGTGTTGGGGAGGGGGTTAGGTTCAAGGAAAACCACACAAAAATGAAAAATTAAGAAACACTATGTTAACTATTTCATCGGGTGATCTAGACAACATGCACATACAAAGTTTGATGTTATCTTAAACTTTATAAAACTTAAGAATGCATCTCAAATTTCATCATCAAAATGATAAGGTTGGCAAAATCTAATCACCAACATTTTTTATTATTTTTTTTGTTTTTGTATTTATGATTTTAATAAAACTAATAATTGATAATTTTTTATAGTTAAAAAATGTACATTTTTGTTTAAATATTTAAAAAATATGCGATATTTTTTATTGAAAATTTTATTAACAAAATTTTACATTATATTCTACAAATTATAATGTAAAACTAATTATATATAAGAAAATCGAATATCTCAAGAGCTTTTCGAGTCGAGTATTGAGTAACTCGACTCAAATCAACTCGTTGGTATGTCAAGTCGAGCTTGAGTTCAAACCGAGCCTATTCGAGTCGAGTGTTGACCGAGCCGATCTTGAGTTGCCTCATATCGTTCACACCCTTGGTCACGAGCTTTTATATTCAAAGAAAACAGAAAGCTTAATTGAGACCACAACACAGACCGATGGTGGTTTGATTTAACCAATTTGATCACTTCATGTCAAACCATATGGTTTAGAATTTTCCAAACCGACACTTGCAGTCTAATTTATAAAACGAGGTCAGACAGCTCAAACTAGACCACGAAGTCACGGACACCCCTACTTACATTAAAACAGAACATAAGGTAAACAGAAAGCTCAATCGAGACCAAATCGATTATATGATCCCTACTATCATTTCGAAAACTAATCTCTATACATCTTTTTCGATCGAGAAATTTACACTCTCAGCGTGGAACATCCTGAAAGATATTCGTCATAAAACCGTCAATGAGAAGGCAGCCGAACGGAGCTTTACACCATCATCGACCCATTTAGATTGCGGTGCAGTTGCTCCAGCTATAATTGCCTGCAAACAAACATTTTCAATTCGATTTCTTGATTCTAAACAAGTCATATACTCGCCCCCGATCAGATACTTAGGTATATAGCCTTAAATGAGATTTTAATTAAATCTATAACCTTCTAATGAGTATGAAGTCACTTTTCTTTTAATAGGCACGAAGTTCATGGATTTAATTAAAATATCATTTAAGTGGAATTTACAAAAGTGAAAGATTTTTGCATTTATATTTCTCCACTTTGTCCAAGATTCCTCATTCTTGCAAATGATAACATTTTTATGAAGTTTTATAAAAACCAATACTTGCACACATAAAATCAAGTACCAAATCAAACCAGGTCAAACAAACCCAGTATATCCCACTCGAAAGCAGGGGTAAGATGTAAGCAAATATGACCTCTACCCTAAAGTTGATTACGTTCAACACCTCAGAAAAAAAGAACTACACTTATGGAAGAGTGTGAGTGTGTGTGTGTGTGTGTGTGCGTGTGTGTTTAAAGACTCATCAGTTGAAGTAATCGTACTTTTCCACTATTGACTGCAGCTACTAGCGCAACACGTTGATCATCATTCCCAAATTCATAGAAGTAATAGGTCCTGAACACAATCAATTCATGAAAAAATATCATTAACAAAATTGTCTTCAATAAATACAACCAGAAATGGAAAATCTGATTCAAGACTCAACTCTGTTTCATTTAAAAAATTGCAAAAAATGAACTTATATTTCTATTTCATTATCTTCTTTTACTCCATGTATGGGAATTAAAGAGTATGATATAATACAAAAATTACCTGTACCCTTCCTCTTCTTTAATTTTTATGGCACGAGCAGAGTATAAACTTGTTCCGCCTATCAAAAACAAATGAAGAACAAAAAAAAGCAATTGCAAGATGTAAAATTTAGATCCTGGAAAAAATGTTGAATCTACAAACAAAGAAATTTTTCCAATTAGGAAGTCATATCTAAAAAGCCAAGATCGCAGATCGTTAAGAGGGCCTACTTGAAGATTCGGGATCTAAGCAGGAAATGGAAATCACAGGCTATGCTCAAATTGAAATAAGTTTTTCACCAAACTAGCCATTTTTGGCAAAAAAATAAAGAAAAACCCATTGTTTTAACAATCACCAAGCTAGCGAAGAATTTGGCAGATTTGCTTAGCAAATATGCGGAATCACCTTTTTGCTTTATTTAGTCGGATGGTGGGTCATAATCTCAGCCGAAAAGCAACTTTTTTTTTAATTTTTTGCGGGGTCAATTTGCAGACTTACCGGCTATTTCTTGATGATGCTTAAAGTAACAGCTATTTGATGAATTCTTTTTGCCTAAAATGGCTAGTTTGGTGAAAAACTCGAATAAAATTTACCTGGAACGAAAATCCTTTTTGCTTCCTTCAATGTCCCCAGATCAGAAACATCTTTGGCCTGCTAAAGATCACATTGTTAACACACACTCTGAAGCCCCTTGATGAAGCATATGCAATTCTGAATGATATGTTTCAAAAATTGGCACAAAAATCTACCTCATTGCAAATAAAGATAAAAGGAAGCAAAACATAGACGAATGTGATCATATAATAAAATATTACTCCCTCTCTCTCATGAAAAATCACACAAATTTCCATTTCGGCATCTCTATTACACAACACAAAGTTCTATTTCTTGGCAAAATTTCAAAGAAAAGTTGCCTATTTTCCTATTGCCATCATTTGCGGTGACCTTTGGAGCAATCAGAAGGATTCACTGATTCATGTCACATAGACCACCTCTTTTTGCAAACAATGCAAAGGAAAAGTTTTGTAGAAGGGCTTCATTCCCGACCCTCACAAAAATAAGGAATTTGGTGCATCATGTATTGGTATATTTGCTTGTTATCATTATTACAAATTCTTGATACTTCTCTATCTTGGTTCACAAGATTAGCTATCTAAGGGTACTTTAGACATTTGACTAATAGTCAAACACTAAACGAATTACATTTAGAGCACATTGTGGAGGGGCAATAATAATGTCAAAGCTTGCATATATAGTTGGATAATATGGCACGGCAATAATTGTGCTTTATGTGTGGCATAAAACTAATTTGCCATCCATCGTAATCATTTAAAAGGTTACTTCCTACGATTTATGTTTGTTCTCTAATTGGCACAACGGTGAAACACAAAACATTTTGAATAGTTGAACGACATACTCTCTCAACTAAGACCATCTCTAACCCTAAATGAGCAAATTGGTGGGGCCATAGACACCAAAAATTGCTTCATCTCAAACCACACAGCATATATGGCATCCTTTTTGCCTGCTGGTTGGAGTTTCCAAAACGAAAAAATGGCGTTGTTGGCCTACCTTTGGAGATACCCTAAGCAAAGAATGGTGTCTGGCCCTAGAAAGTTTTCTCGATGGATCACTCTAGAAACTGAGGATATATAGTCAAGATAAAATTTAAGCTCAATGAATAAGCTATCAAAGTTTTCATATAAAAAAAAATACACTAGGATGGAGCGAAAAAAACCTACTGCCTCTGTACCGTGGAAGTCACAAACTGCAACTTGAGACTGATTGAAAATGTTTGACAAATTTGTCAAACATCTAAAAGACAATTCCAAGCACACAAAATGAATAAACTTATACACCCTAATCAATACAATCAATTTATTTGTAACAGCAATGAGGGGTATGTAGGTAATTTTGACTTGGAAACTTTCCAAGCAAGACAATATTGCAATTTGTTTGGGACATTCCAGAAAAGAAAAATGTTGCAATGCCCATGGGAGGAAGAGGAGGCATTGCATTGTATATTTGGACATTATATTGTAGCCAATGACGGAAATAGACAGTTGTAAGGGAAAACGATGAAGAGAGAAAATGGCCAACTATCGAATTATGCCACATATAAACTTTCCGCAATATCGCATCTCTATGATATGGACATTTATCAAATGTCGAAACTTTAATTCCCACAAACCTCTAAAAAGGTGATCTTGAGTTGATTAGATGGGCGGACGACAACGCTTAAAACTTCGGATCTGTATGAATTGCTAACCAGGTAAGACTGCATAATCATATAGTAACATTTAAGTATTTAACATTTAGTAAAAATCATTTTACGAAAAATAAAAACATCTTATACATAAAACTGTGCTTTATTTGTACTTGTTTTCCATCAAAAAGATTTATGACGAATTACGAGTGACTTTACTTGGTCTTGTGAAGCATAAAAAAAGATGTCAGATAAACCAAGAACTTATGTTGCTTATTGCAGATAAATTTCATCAGCTGTTACCTCATTCAGAATCTAAGTAATACACAAAAGATACTTTTGTTACAGATTATTATGACAAAATGTTTAACACATGAACTTCCAATGTTTTATTCATGGCTTGAACATACTATCACCCTCCTGAAGGGAAGTGATCCACTTTCCTAATCATAGTAATTTGCTTTTCTTAAAACAATCCATTGTTCTTGAAGGAATGCAAACAGATCACTACCCTTTGAAGGAATGAGCAATTTTGAACAAAAAGTGTCAAGTACAATGGGTTCTTTTACATTTACATTGAGATTTTCACAACTTGTCCAAATTTCTCACTGATATGGAGTGATCGTTTGTTCTACATTTTTACAAGAAGAATCGTTTGTTTACGACAAAGAAAAACCAATAATTGGAGGTGTTATCACCAAACTATGTAACCAAATCTTGTTTGTCCATCTATTACTTTTTTGGTTGCTTTATTCGTTGATTGCAATAACATCACAGTTGTAACTGTGTGTAGTAGAAGCTACAATTGCCTAGCAAAGCAGAAGATACTAAGTAGTCTAGGCCAATTAAGTTTTCACAACTGTGACTAAGAGAGCATATTAATTCGTAAACCTTGACAATGCCATGAAAAAACAAAGATTACAGTTTTACCCATCAGGTGTAGCAAACCGTGCTGCAAATGTCTTTGGTTTAGCTTTATCTCCATAAAGTGATAAACCAGCATTGTAGTCCTATAAAAACAAAACAAAAAAGACAATAAAGTACCATTAATCTGCTGAAAAAGGATGCATACATGCAACTTAACTTCTGGCTGAAATATGAAAAACCGAAGTTAAGGCAACTCCTGAGCAGTTAACATCCGAAAATAGTAACCCTCCTATCAAAGTTATTAAAGGCTCAAGGCGCAGTTAGGTGCAAAGGGGTCCCGGGGCCTAGGCGCGAAGCGCAGGCATGAGGCACGGCCTCAGGAATGCGAGGCACATCTTATATAAAAAATGTATATAGACACACACACACACAATTACACACAACTCAAATATGTGACAAGTACAAGCCTCCAGTGCAGCAACCAACTATATCGATAGAGGCAGAAAGGAGAAGGCTTTAACGCGTGAGCCATGAGGGAGAAGTTTTAAGGTCTGGGTATTTATGGAGAAACAGGTTTGAAGTTATAAGAACCGGGTATTTGATATTAGGGTTTGACTTATGTCATCTATTTAATAACTTTTTTTATGAGAAAACTTATTTAATATTGGGGTTTGACTTGGTATTTAATAACTCTTTATGAGCAACCCTAGGCCCACAAGGCGCCTCAACCAAGCCGTAGGGCCTTAGTGAGCCTCGTGAATACGCCTAGCCTCGACTTTAGAAAAGCCCAAGACCTTGAGCCTTATGAGCATCAGAGCCTTAGGCGTGCCTGTAACAACTATGCCTCCTATAGTAGCAAACCCTTGAGCTTACTAACAATTCTTTGGTTTACAACCATCTAAATCCAAATTCTTGTATACCAACATGAAAGTTTTGATGAAACTGAACCTTTTATGCATCAAAAAGAATGGTCTACATGTATTCTAAAACAGGAATTACCAAGCTTCAATAGCCTATTATACACACAAAAGGGCAAGGGTAGCACCGTGACAGTTAGGTTACCAAAGTCTTACACTGTCAGGTACAGGGATTTCTTAGTTTTTCGTACTGATCATATCTATTATTGTATCTACTTGTGTGACCTTTCTACTCATACACTAGTCTTAGCTTTTCTTCATGTACTAGTAGTTATTAGTATTGCTCTTTGTTTCCTTGTTTGCATTAACCTATTTTCCTCATATTTGTCCCTGATGCCTTGTCTGTTTAATATACCTGTTGTTTGATTGCACACACTCTCACCTATAGCTTGCTATCTTGTTACTTTTAATTTGTGTTCTAAAAGCCGGTGATCTTAGAGAAACAGCTTCTCTACCCCTTGGGGTGGATCCTACCCCCAGACTCTACCTTCGCATGGATATGGTTTGGTTTGGTTTGGTTTGGTTTGGTCATAGTACTACTATATGTTGGATACAGAACTTGATTCATATTGCATACCGAGCACAACTTCGCATTACTATAAGCAAAGTTAATCATTTATCTTCTATTATCAGTTATCTTTTTGAATTTTTCTCACAGTTGGCGTTCTTTATCTTTGAATATAATACAGAATTCACCAAAATTATGATAAAATCCTATAAAATGTTGTGGGTGTAGACAAAGTGCTAAACCAGTTCACTAATCATCAATCCTAACACCATACACAACACACCAGACACCATACAGATAACCCAGAGTCGGTGTATCGATTGCGCTATATGAAATGAAGATGGAGTACCTTGAGCAGAAGGTATTTGAGAAAACGTTTGTTAGGCCAAATAAGACCTTAGATTTCAAGGCAACAATCAAGGAACTGAAATGTTTCTTTTAAAACAACTATAAACAAATAAAATACACACATCTCTGTTAGCAAATGAATCTTGAACTCACACACACACACTATGCTGAGACACCAACTAAAATATCTGTTCGGCCAAAGGCCACTGGTGAGATGAATTCAAAATTATAGTCTTACAGGACATTAAATCAAATATTAGTTCTACATTTGAAGTATAATCACGCAATCTAAAATCACGAGAAAACAATCTGACCTCTGGCTCCATAATATCCTCAAAATCAGGCGGAACCCTGATGGCGAATCCATTACCAAAGAATCGAAACCATGATTTAGTACTGGTAATGCCTGAAAGAATCGTCTTAGTAGCAGAAGAAGTTTGAGCTATGAGAGTTGGAGGTTGAACAAGCGTTATTAGGGAAGATAAACTGCAAATCGAAACGGTGTTCACAGCGAATTCTCTTCTGGAAGTGGTTTGCTCAGAGAGAGAATTTGTTATGGAATTGAAAGCGTTTAGGTAAGGTTTAGGAGGGTGCGATTGTGAGGTTAAAGAGAGAAGTCTGGCCATGAAAACTACGGTTTTGAGAGGATCAGAGGGAAGAGGATCATTCATGGACAGAGATGGCCATTGATGGTCAAAAAGGATAAGAACTCATTTTTTTCTTCGCTCTTTGTCCCAAGAAAAAGGGGTGTTTGTATCGCTTATTTCAAATATATATACATTTTTTTTACTTTTGTTTAACTTTTTTTTTTTTTTAACTTTTTATTATCGGTTTGACACTTGTATAGGTTGTTTATCCAAACACTCGAAAGTCACACCAAAATAAATCAATAAGTTGTTTTTATAAGCAATCTCAAACACTCTCTTAAAAAGCTTAATTTACTTATTCCATTGTGATACCGATAAGAATGAGTTTTTAGCATTTAGATGGAAAAAATAAAAAATGCTCATATCAGTTTGACATGGTAACAAGAAGTTTTTGATAAATCACTCGCTTAAAACTTATTAACTTATTCCGATGTAGTACTGATAATAAGAAGTTTTTAATGTTTGTGATGAAAAATAAAAGAGTATCTCATATATTTTATCAGTTTGTCCGGTATGGTACCGCCATAAACTAATTCAAACAATTTTCTTATAAAACTCTGATTTGCCACCACATAAGTTGATAAGCAATTTTACAAAAAGACATCAATTGTTTTAAATAAGCAAACCCAAACACCTCCAAAATTTAAACTCCATACTTTTTTGTTTTTAAATGTAAAATAAAATATTTTATTCTTAACTTAAATCAAACAAACCGCGTATATCTCAACTGAATATATGGTTTTAAGCCATTGGACGTGTAAATCAGTCGGTAAATGAGTGGAGTGACTTTGCTAAAATATACAACAAGTTTATGTCTGAATCTTGTAGGAGATGGGTTTAAACCCCACTGCTAGCCTCAACCGTCTAATCAGCTATGAAATGTCTCCTCGCATGTGACTACTAGGGCCGGGTCCTTTGTGGGGTCGTCGAGGTTGTCAGTAATCAACCTTTTACTCAAATATATGTTTTGAGGGCGGGGTAAGATGTATGTAGATCATTCAGACTCTTTTTTGAAAAAATCTCGACTTGCAAAGAAAAAAATCATAAGAAACATAATTCAACTTGATACGAATAACAATTCATTTTGGGTCTATAATTTGGTAAATCTGATGATTATCGACAACTTGTTGGAAGTTTGATTTATCTTAAGATTACTGATCCAAAGTTGTGTCAAGTGATTCATACTCTTGTTCAATATATGTAGTTTTTCAAGGAAGCACGGTGGAATGGCGCTCTTTTAAGCTATCCAATGCTTAAAGAACATATATAAATATATATATTATCCTGGATATCCAACTCACTATACAAGCCAACTAATCTCAGGGTAACCATCTGTTTTACAGATAGTTCGGAGTCATCGTATTTGAATTTCATTGGCCACAAGGGAATTTTTATTCATCCTTGGATTTGAACCTGTGACCWCCTGGTACTTTTGACATTTGGAGTCAAACTCAAACCAATCAGGCACCATCCTTGTGGTTTGCTTAAAGAATAATTATGGACAACGTTCTCTTTTTTATCGGGGATAGTGATTGATATGCTAATGATTACTTTGACCCGTTTACGATGCTTGTTCATTAACTCGTCATTCTCTTTATTGTGTCGGTATGTCTCATGTATTCTATAAATAGAGTTGAACACATACCACTCTGAAAAACGTAAAGCATGGTCAAAGCAGTTTGCAAAAAGCCCAAACAAGTCCATGTTTGGCAAGGTAAGGATCAAACTTAGTCCAATGGTCTATCTTAGTTTATGACCGATAAGGTTTGAAAAAGTCTGACCTTGGTCTAATAGTCCAACAGTCTATCGACTGATAAGGTCTGAAAAAGTCTGCTCATGGTATAATATGTTTACACAGAAGGGAAAATATAATTGTTGGATTTAAAAATAAGAAAAATGGATCGGCTTAGGCTTTATCTGGTCCTAAAAAGACCGATCTTTTATTGGTCTGACTCAAAAAAGGGAAAAGGATTGACGGTTTGGCATAGTATGAACTAATGATGTCATAGACCTAATGCTAACCTCTAAGGGGTTGTTTACCTAATGCTTATTGGGTGTCACTTACCTTTACCAAATGGGTGTGGTAAGGACTAAGAATCTTACCCGGTAAGTGAGGGAGAAGACTCTTACCCGGTTAGCGATTACTAGGAAGAGACACTTACCAACAATCCATTTTGATGGCCGAGAATGTTACTCGATAAGATAAGTGAGATTGATGACTCTTGCCAGTAAGCATTTACTTAGTGAGCGTTTGGTAACAACCCTTAAATGTCCATCTCTACTTGGAAGACAACGAAACATCCAATGCTTTGTTATTCTTCTAGTGTCCCCTCGTTCTTTCGTGAAAGCTGAATAACATTCAATAGTCACTACAAAGTTACAAGCTTATTTGGCTCTATATTAAGGCTCGAGGGGGAGGTTGATGTAAACCTGTTAGTCCCTAATGTGTTAATGACTTATACTATAGGTGTTTTTGTAGAAGGGTTGAATGCAGATACAACAAAATTTAACTTTTTAATTCTATATTTTGTATCATAACAAAGAATTACACATTTGTTGCGGATGTTAAGAATGTAAGACCTGTGATCCTAAACAACCTAAGTGGTAACAAATTTGCTAACATTAAAAGAGTGAGAGAAGAAGGTACTTTTTCAGAGGATCCAATTAGTGTTAGCAAATTTCAAACCCAAAGCCCAAGCTCGACGACCCCCACGCACCTAAAAAAGCCCAAGCCTTTGTTATTGCTCACTGGGCCCGAGGCCATCTCAAAAAAGCCTAGGCCTTTTGCATATCTACATCTAATGACTCGTTTAGATCTACTGAAAAAGAATGTATCTGACATAACTTATTTGGTACATCCACAAAATCTTGACAAACTGGTTCCTATGTATCTAACCCTTATGTTCCCACGACTCGATGTTAGTTAGGACCTATGATTTTAGACCTTTTTGCATTCTTTTTATGGGTGTTTGAGATTGCTTATTTAAAGTGTTTATTAACTTATTTCAATATGGTACCGGTAATAAGAAGTTTTTAGTGTTTGAATGGAGAAAAAAAAGAAAATTCTTGTACCGGTTTGGCACCAGTAAATAAGGAGTTTTTAATGAGTTAGGAGACGTTTATCAAACACTTACCCGGTAAGTGCTTGCCGGTAAAATTTAACACTATTATTTATTTGGCGGATAAGATTTTAGTCTACCAAAACGACATCGTATGTAACAATTTACCCGGTAAACGCTTACCGTGGTAAGAGTCGTCGCATTCACTTACAAGGTAAGACTCTTGGTTCTTGTTTCGCTCTTACTGGGTAAGATTGTTGGTCCTTGCCATATTCATCCGATGAAGTAATGTTACTTGGTAAGCGCTTACTTAGGTAAACGTTTGATAAACGACCCCTTACTTCCTTCTAACTTATTCACTTATTCCGATGGGATACCAGCAATAAGAAGTTTTAGTGTTTGGATGAGAAAAGAAAATAATATCTCTATCTATTTTATCAGCTTATCCAGTGTGGTACCACCATAAGCTAATCCAAACATTTTTTTTATAAAAACTCTAGTTTGACACCGTATAAGTTTGATAAACATTTACAAAAAAACATAGGATGTTTTTAATAAGCAATGAAATGCAATTTCTCATAAGTGTAGGGATGTAACTGCAAATTTCGCTTTCTAAATAGACAAGACATTATCCACAAATCAAGAGATTGCCCAGAAAACCAATCCATAAGAAACGAAATCCAAACCACTCATAAATTATTCCGCTTCACACATCAGAAGTATTAGATGATGAGAAGAACACACGCATTTTCATCGATCTCTGCAAATGGAGACCATTTTAGCTCCTCATTCTTTCCCTTCTCTCTTCAATATCAAATCATCTCTCCAGCAACAGCAAAATCCCAGATCAACTCTCGCAAATGCCAAACCCATTTGTTGTAATCTCAAGAAGGATTCAGGTTTTCAATCTTTTTCAGCAATACCCACGAATCACCCCAATTGGTTTTCTCATGTTCAACATGGATTTGCTGCTTTAGCTATCTCATTAGCACTCAATTTTACCCCAATTTTAGCCACTGGGTCTGCATTTGCATCTGAATTTGATGTGCTCAATGACGGTCCTCCGAAAGAAACTTATGTGGTGGATGATGCTGGTGTTCTTAGCCGGGTAACAAGATCCGATTTGAAGAAATTGCTGTCGGATTTGGAGTACCGGAAGAAAATTAGCATCAATTTTGTTACCGTTCGCAAACTCACGGTCAGTGCACGCCAAGTGTTTGATTTAATGTCACACTACAAAATAAAATAGATTTATTTAGTGTTTAGTTGGCCCTGCATTGCCTATATCTTCTTATCCAACATAGTTTAAGAATAATTGATAAAGTTTACATTGTTTTATATATTTCTGTACACAAATGGTGTTGGAATTTTTGTTTATGGGATCTTTGACAAGTCTATCTTGTTCTCAACATATAAGTTAGAAAAATAAATAAATCGGTCTTTTGGTAAGTTTGCAACTTCAATCTCGAGTAGGTTGCATTTCATAAAACTTGTTTGTAAACAATGAGAAAATGGTAACCATGTTCATAATTTTTCATGATAAGTGTTTATAGAATCTTGAAAATTCAATCTAAGGTTTTCTAAAGATGAAAAAGTTGTCAAACACTATTTTTTCTATTCGGTTTATACTTCCTTTTTGTAACTGTGGGTTTCGGGCAAACTTACACTCATGAACTAACAACGTAAATGAAAAAAAGCAGCACACGTTGTCAAGAGGTTAAAGTTTGAGACTTTTGATTATGTAAGTGGACATTCATACTCTTCTACCTTTTTTACTTCAAAATTTTCAGCCATCTTAATGACCCAAAATCTAACTTTTGGGTTTTCAACTATAAGTTGGCATTCATATATTTACCCTTCTAGCTTCAAAAAGCTTCTATTACCTTAGTTGGTGTTCTACTTCAATTAAATAATCATATGTTGTCTATCATATTATGCCATATTTTTGCAATTTTAAAAGATAAAAAGTTAACTTATTTGACTTAGAAAAGTCAAATATAGAGTTTTTAGGGATGGAGGGAATAGAAGACCTTGGAGGAAGCTTTGAGGGATACTTTTGATTATTCTCAAAATCAAGAAAACATCTTTGATTAAAAACTAGCAAGGCATAGTGCATTTCACATTATGATTTTAATACTAGTAGTGGTCAAAACCATTTTTATGGAAAATTTTATTTTTTTGATTTATTAAGTTTAGAAGATAGGTATAATTATTTTAAGAGCTAAAAATAGAGTGTCAAATAAGTAAAACTATGCCCAGGTTCAAATCCAAGGAGGAATAAAAATCCTCTTGTGGCCACGGAGGTTCAAATGCGGTGACTCCGGGCTATCTGCAAAGCAGGTGGTTGCCCTGGGATTAATCGGCTCGCATAGCGGGTTGGATATCCAGGTTAATAAAAAAAAAAGTAAAACTATGAGTAGCATTTGGTAATAATTGGGCAATACAATTACTTAAGTAACATATGAAGTGATTTATAATTTGCAATATATTCATGCTACTCATTGATATTTTATGAAATTATTATTGTTGAGTTATACAATTTTAACAAATACTATTAAAAAAATATTCCCACCTGTTCCAGTCCGAATTTATTTTCAATTTTAAATCTAACAAGTACTACCAAAGGCAGAGAATATTAGATTTAGAATTCAAATACTACCAAAGGTTAATTAATTGTTTAGAAGGGTAGTTTTTTCCAATATTTATGAGAAAGAAAATTTGTTTGTAAAAACATTGTTTGAAAAACTCATTAACTCATTGAGAGAAGACATTATATTTTGTTGCAATTAATCATTCATCCTTGCAAAAGAAACACCATAATTTGCAGGGTTGAGTGATTTTAAACAAACTGCCTGAATGTAAATACAAGAAGAAAACCATACTCACTTTTCATAAATACAGCGTTTTCTTTCTTCTGATGTTTATTAAAAATGGTTTGTTTGTAACAAAAACCAAAATCCAATGAATTTGTAAAATCAGTAAATGAATGAAAAGAGCATATGATCAAATGAGAACCCCATGTACTGTTTGTGAGAACCGTTAGAACTTTTACCTTAAAATGTTGTTTGACATGATCTTTTCCAATCTAAGGTTTGGATTTAAGGTATTGATTGATATATATTTGTTTCCCAAAAAGTGTTAAAGTTCTTATAAATTGACAATGGTGTTGCAGAGCAAAGCTGATGCATTCGAGTATGCTGACCAAGTTTTGGAGCGTTGGTACCCAACAGTCGAAGAGGGAAATAACAAAGGAATAGTGGTATTGGTGACGAGTCAAAAGGAAGGGGCGGTGACCGGGGGTCCTGAATTCATCAAGGCTGTTGGTGATACTGTTCTTGATGCCACCGTTTCCCAAAACCTTCCTGGTAACTATCTTTCTCTCTTTTCAGGTTTTGTTCTACGTTTAGACCATCTTATATGCTTGTTTGTTTGGTTTTCTGAGAACTGATATTTTGTTAGGCTATGTTGGGCAAACTAGTTGATAAACGAGTCGATATTTGGTAAAAAGTTGGCTGATAAGCTAGACTACAATTTAAAATTATCAAAAATGATAGGGTTTTTTGGTCATTTATGTATTATATATGGGAATAATTGGAAAAAAGTGAAAAGAACTCCTAGAGCTTATTGAAACACTACCTGAATTAGCTTTTTCAAACACCTAACTTATATGAGCATCTCCAACAAATCCTTCATAATGAGATTTTTACCTACTTTTTTGTTTCAACAGATTGTCCAAAATTTTCTCCAAAATGGAGAAAGTAAGAAAGAGAAAATACAAATCTTCAAATTTGAAGAATTCTCCAAAAATTTTAGTGAAGAGAGGAAAATGTATTTTTTTAATGTTTCCACCAATAAACTTGAATGTATAATTAATTTTACATAAAATTTATTTGAAAGTTTCTTGGGATTAAATATATTGAATATTTTTATATGAAGCAGCGTACAATAAACCAACAAGATATTGAGGAATTGTCCATTTGGGATTTGCGATCCCAGGTAAGATCGGTCCAGGTTCCGCTTATGGGGTCAAATCAATACGCTCTAAGAAGAAATATGGGGAATAAGCATCGGCTAACTTTGTGCCAGACCAAAGTCTTATCTATTTGTAGATGGAGCGTCGTAATCATATCATTATATGAATTCCAAAAATATATATTTTTACCTTCTTATTTAGTGAGAACTGAGAACAATTATGTCTGAAAAATGTTTGTTAATTTTCAAATAAATAAGCAGGGTAAACATTTGACTTTGAAGGGTCAAGTGAGTTATTTGGGTTCATTTTATCCTTCAAATTTAACTTCAAATAAAATAATATAAAAAGATTAAATTCTTAACCTTTTGTCCATTTTCAAACTGATCTAAAATTGCAGCTTCTTTTGCTTGAAAATTAGATGGTAAAGTTTTTTTTTTGTCTCATAACTATGATTGATAAGCTTAGATAGTTCTTGAAACATAGTTGACCTCCCTTTAAGCCTTATTATTATGTTTTAGAATTGTTTGCCATTAAACAACCTAAGGCAAGATTTCATTCTCTTTTCTTTGTGCCATATTTTTATCTTTATGGAATTCTGTTTAATCTAGAGATGCACAAGGCCAGAACTTTTTCGGACTGGGAACGGGCCACTCAAGCCCGTTTCAGTGAGCAAAAAGGGCCCGGGCTGGATTTTCGGGTTGAAAAGGGCCCATTCAGGCTTTTCCGGACCGCCTCTTTTTTTGGAATATTCGGGCATAACTGGGCTTTTCTAGGTTTTTTCACGAGGATTGCCCAAAATGTCAGCCTGATCGGGCTTTGGGGCATGGCCTGGACTGAGCTTCAGGCTCACTAGGCCCTGGTTTTTTCGGACCGGGCTTCGAGCTTGGGTGTGAATGGGCCTGATCAGGCTTTTCCAGTCTTTTATAGGCCGGGCTTTAACTGGGCGTTGAAAAAGAAATTTGGTCTGATCGGGCTATTTAGTTTGGCCTGGGATCGTATTTGGCCTTAATAGGATTGGGCTTTTTGGGACCAGGATCAATAGGGGATTTTGTTGCATCTCTAGAATGGGATATAATAGGTTTGTTTGGTTTGGTTTGATGGTTGTATCATTTGCAGTTCTATTTATCCAATTTGTCTATATTTTACACCACCATATCGTCGTTCTAATGTTTATATCATTTGTATCTATTGCTTGTAGTCTTGGCGACAGACGAGAAATATAATGAAGCAGTTTATAGCACTGCTAAACGGCTAGTTGCCGCAATCGACGGTCTACCCGATCCTGGCGGCCCCGAGGCTAAGGACACCAAAAGAGAATCCAACTTCAAAACTAAGGAGGAAACAGCCGAGAAACGAGACCAATTTACGCTTGTCGTCGGAGGTTTGTTAGTTATCGCTTTCGTTGTTCCCATGGCACAATACTTTGCCTATGTCTCCAGAAAGTAGTTATCTTATGTCTAGTTCGTATAAAACCCGTATCCATAGGATCATCACGAACAATGTAATTAGAAAAACGGAATTTGAAATGTGGATTCGGTTTGTTCTCCCTTGATGTAATTATGGGAGATCATTAGTGTGGATGACGATTCGGTTTTATTAGTCTTGTGTTTTCCCATGAGACTGATTCGGAATTCATTTTCCGGTATAATGAGATCGGGGTTTTCAATTCGATAATTCTTCGATTGTTAACGATTTTCGTGTTTAGAAACTAGGGCGATAGACGACATCTTATAATTATCAATCAAACGTTGAATAGAAAATTAAATGAATGGATCATATTTAAGTATTTTAGAACTTGAGATTCAAAAGAAACGGCATTTTGTCAGCAAAGGGTGGATCTGAAAACTTTCCCGTGAGTATTTGCGAAGCAATATGTTGATTTGCGGCCTCTGTGTAGTGGATTCCGTCCCAATTCACGTATTCGGTTGTATCATTACATACAGTGGTTGTGATTGAGCTGCCATTTATGGTCTTCGTTTGGCCACAAGCTACCTGACTGTTGTAGTTCAAAGGCGGACCTCCGTACCCACAACAAGCAGTCGTTGGTTGTTCAAAACCTACAAATTAAACACACGAGCATAATACCATATATATATATATATATTTCAATTGATTGGATTGCATTGGTTGTACAAATAGACATGGTTGTATTTGAAATATACCATATTATATATATATATACATATATTTATCAACATAACATATATCTGGTCGAAGTCGTCGTACCTCTTTAGACAAAGTTATAGTATTTTGTATTTAGACAAATTCGTCGTATTTATTTTCTCTTAAAAACCAGTTTTAGAAGCGACAAGTGATTCATAATCTTGAAAATCTAAATCCTATCACATGTTTTGTCATTTCCCTCTTTTTCACATATCACATGTGACTTTCAATATTTGTTTTCTTCTCACCCCCATAACACTCCCACATGGGAACGTGGAATTTACAGCTCGGATAACATGTTAAAATAACTATAAATATGATTGAAAAACTTTATGATTTAAATTTCTAAGTAGAACGATTTAAAAGATTGTAAGTATTTTTTAATACATTATGAGTTTACAGATTGTTTGACCTGTTAAAAATAAAACAGTTCATTTTGAGTAAATAGACTGAAATCACGACGTTCTTTAATCCAACTCGATATTTAAGGCTTTGTGTCATCAAAATACTTTTTTTTTTTTTTGACATTTTGATAGAGTGAAAGTGAAATTCAAAACAAGAAATACTAACCGTATTTTGAGAAATTCGCAATGAGATTAGATTTGATCGTAAAGATGTCGATATGGGTGATATTGGCATCTAAATACTGAGCCTGCAATTTCGTGACAAGCGCATGCAATTGCAGGTTGAAAATGTTCGATGCTTTGTTGTGCGCAGCAACACAACCTAGTGCATCGAGCTTTGAGGGATCTGTCCCAAACTTTGCAATGTTTTGGGGCAGGCACCCGAGTGGTCCTGTGTTATGAACCCAAAAGTTTCTTGCCCCTTGATCGTATAACTTCTGAAAAACATTAAGAATACGATCGTGATATTTGCATAATTATGTAAGAATTGTTTGTAATACCTAAATATTGAAAGGGGCAAAATAAATTAAAATACAACAAAACTGCCGTTCTTATCTAGTGTAATAAATAACTTTTTTCCTCAATCAATGTAACAGAGTTTTAAATTTTATAATTTTGTAACCATTTTAACAAACAATTTATTGATTTTATAACATTTGATGACGTAGATACCAAATTGTTGATGAATATATTTCTAACTAGTAACCTGTTGTTCCACCATTATATATATATATATATATATATATATATAGAGAGAGAGAGAGAGAGAGAGAGTTTGTTTCAAATACAACCCGTCGTATTTGTACAACCAATGCAACCCAATAAATTGAGATATTTATGGAAATGATGAGAGTTCATTTATTATGATTTGAATATTTATGGAACATGAATATGGTTCATTAATTATGGTCAATACTTTATATTAGGAAACAACCAAAACTTCTATGAAATCACATATTAATCAAATGAAATGTACGGTTGAGATTGGGTTGTATTGGTTGCATAAATGTCAAGGGTTGTATAATAACCAACCTCTCTCTCTATACACACACACACACACACACACACATATATATATATATAGGGGCCTAATCAAATGAGAACTAATTAGTTTGTGGTAACTGTGAGAACCAATATTAACCACAAATCAATAGATAAATTAGGAAATTTATAATTTTGGCAATTTTGAATTAAAATATTAATGCAAGAATATTTTTGGTATTTTAAAACTTTCCTCCCTCCTCTCTTCTCTCTCTGGCCACCGTCCTCCGGTGATACTACAATGGTATCACAATGCATCACATCCAAGTCTTATAGACGGCGGCCCCGTTACTTCCCACTCCCTCTGCCACCATTCAATAGGCTTGACTTTATAGCTTCTTCTTGGGAGGCTCTAAGAGGTGCTTAAGAGCTCAAAAACCCTGTGTTAACAAGTCTCAAATATGTGCTTGGGTATCACATTGATGTCGTTTGTGTGGTCGATCGAAGATGTAACACAGTAGTATCACTATGCATCTTATATATGATTAGGTATCACAATGTATCTTATGTTTAACAGAGTCAATATTTTTAGGTATCACAGTGATATCACCGGAGGACGGTGGCCGGAGAGAGAAGAGAGGAGAGAGGAGAGTTTTAAAATACCAAAAATATCCTTGCATTAAGATTTTAATTTAAAATTACCAAATTTATAAATTTCCTAATTTATCTATTGATTTGTGGTTAATATTGGTTCTCACAGTTACCACAAACAACTCAGTTCTCCCTTGAATAGGCCCCTATATATATATATATGAAGGGTTGGGTTCACATGAGACCAGACCAAAGGTTTTTCGTGAGATCCGTAAAACCAATTTATGTTCATTGATCAACTAGATATGTCTAAAGTTGCACGGTGACAATTTTGTGATTATTGAGAAGTCTCGTGGCGTTTATGAATGTTCATATTGTAGATCTAATCCAAGGGTTGAGAATTGGTTTTACGGGTCTCACGAAAAACTCTTGATCTCACATGATCCCAAGTCTATATATATATATTCAATCAATACCATTTCACAAGTTGACGTCCACGTCATCAAATGGTATAAGATTATCAGGTTATTGGTAACAAGTGAGTACAAAATAAAAACTTTGGAACTTTACTATCTTGATTAGGAAAAATAAACCGTAAGACAAACTTCGTTGTATTTTGATCCATTTTACGTTGATGTTTAGACACTAAAAGGGTAACAACATGTGAAATAAACTAAATCTAACCTTGATTCCGGCTTCAAATTCGATCAAAACCAACGGAATCGAAGCCACGATTTGGTCGTACGATTTCGAGTAAAATGAACCTGCAAGATCATTTTGTCCGATATCGAACATGTAAAGCCCTTGGCTAAAATAATCTTCATCTGGTAAGTACTTGTTGAACCTTCTTGCTGCCATAAAACATAGCCAATGGTCAAGTCAAGATGGCCATAAAACCGACATCGTGGTGCACCAAGACTTACGTTATGAGAATGTCGACCTTCAATACCAGGTTTCATCTTTTTAGAATCCATGAAACATATATAGGGGTCTTCTTGTTAGAATGCATGAAACTGTGATAACCTTAAGAACTAATGCATTATCTGTTATTTCATGTGATTTTTTTGGCTTGGATTTAGTGAATTGATTAACATATATTCGTTTCACAATGTGAACATTTTTTATGTCTTTGTGAAATAAAAAAACACAACGAAAAAGTTTTGCATTATGAAACGAATACATATAAAATAAATATATGTTAATCAATATATTAAATTCAAGTTATAGAAGAAAAAAATCACAATTTATTGAGTTATCAAATGATTAAGTCCCCACATATACACACACAAGGATGTTCATACGAGAATGATACGTATTTAAAAATAAGATAATAATTCTGGAACAATCATTTATTTGAATAATGCTTTAAATGAAACTTTTTAAATTAGGAATTACGTTTTGAATTAAATGCGATCTTATACATTTTAAATATGTTTTCCCACAGATTACATGTGATTTTGTTTTTATTATTTTCCTTTTTTAATGTTTAATTTGAATAATTGTTTTTCAAATCTTAAATCACAATATGATTAAGAAACATTTTGAAATAAAATAATTAATTGGTGAATCACATCTGATTTTAACAAAAATTGTAATTCTTTTTAAATATTGCTTTAAATAGAAAAGGGAATTTTTTTAAATGAAAATCAAATATGCTTATTTTAAATGTATTAAAATAAAATATTTTTAAATAAAAATTAAAATCATAAATATGGTAAAAGTAAAATTTTAAATAAAGATTTTAGATAGCTTATATATAACTAAATTACCTTTATGCTCTTCTTTACTTATTTTTAGAATTAATTATTTAAGGTATTATTTAATGAAATGTATGTTCTATATTTATTCTTTTATTTTCTTAAATACATATCATTTTTATATGAATCCGACTCTCTCTCTCTCTCTCTCTCTCTCTCTCTCTATATATATATATATATATATATATAAGCTTATTTGAGAACTGTAAATATTTTGAGAACCGTAAAAACCAATTATTTATTATAAATATGGTGATAGATATTCGTTATAAATATCATAAATACTATAAGTGTATGATATTAATGGATATTTAAGTATATTCATCATAAATGGTTGGTATTCACGGTCCTCAATATTTACAATATACACACATATATATAGACTTGGGATTATGTGAGACCAGCCTACTTTCGTGAGATCACTTTTTTACATTTGAAACTTCACAGCAAAATGCTGTGAAGGTAACCTTCACAATATTTTTGCTATGAAGGTTCGGCTTTTTTACTTTCACATCATTTTGCTGTGAAGTTTTAAGTATAAAAAAATGAACTCACGGGTCTCACAAAAACAGACTGGTCTCGTATAAACCCAACCCTATGTATACAATGAATAACCCTTATCATGGTCAAAATTCTTTGATGTTTAAACGAGGATGACAAAAAATTCAGAAAATGAGAACATATCTGAACTATGATTTGATTGTGATCAACCACCTTTTTCAACTTTATTTTTAAAACTTTAAACTTTTCCCCTTATTTTCTTTAATGAAAAAATATACGAAATATATAACGAAAATTGGAGCCAAACAAGTTATAACAGAAAACGAGCATCTTATTCTCTTAAATTCAGTCGTAAAAGAATAATCTTATAGGTGTGTATAAAACGATATAAATATATGACGTACACTTAGACTGCAATTGAAGAACCCGAGACTTGAACCGAAAAAACTGCGCCACCTGAATCCCAAACGAAAACGGGCTAACGGAATTTGGCGTTGGCGGTAAAATAGTGGAACCGGCAGCCGCAAAATTGCATCCTTTGCGGAAATTCGGGACACCGAGAGCTTCCAAGTACGCGTTTAGGAACGGCAAGTCCATTGCATCGACTGCAACCCCATCATATGTTTTAAGACACGAATACAGATACAAGAAAGATATAAAAATACAAGCGAAAAAAGAAAAGAACTAACTTAAGAAATCAACAATGAGGCGGCCATCACAGAACCTCCCAGATGGTCCTTTGAAATACGTCTGGCCATTGGGAGGATCGAGATTGTCACCGACACCGGCGACCAGATCGCCGGTGTCGGAATTCGAGTCACCAAAGTTGAAAACTGCTGGATAATTGAACTCAATGCCATTACTGAGGTATGGAATGCAGCAGGTGAACAGTAGAATAAGAAGATGGTTCATATCTGGGGTTGGGGTTCTTGTGGTTTTGGGGGAGATGGGGTATTTGAAGGTCTGCTGGTAGGCTTATGCTTATAAATGAAGTTTGCTTTGAGGTCACTACTGAATGGTGGGTGGTGAAATTACCATTATGCCCTTATTAGTTAAGTAGTCAAGGGTAGCTCTGTTATGTTGTCAACTAATTTAGGACTTTTTGGTGGGGTTTGGGTTAAAAGTCATGGCTGTTAGCATTAAATTGATTGTAACCTGTTTGATACATGTATTTATTTACTGGGTCAAAATAATTTAATTATTGTGTTGAAATTTCGATAAAAGAACGAAAATGATTTATATTCCTGTTTTATTTAAACGATATGATGAACTTATGGATTGTTTGACAGTTGCTGAATGGTTCGATTTAAAATGATTAAGAGACTTTCATGATATAATGCAAAATGAAATATAATTGTTTACAATAAAATTAGGACGCACAATGGTGAAGGGAGACTCAAAATACAAAATCATTCAAAGGATTTTAGAACCATTAAGAGGCAGATTTTTTTTTTTGTAAAACAAGATTCATCTCTTAACAGTTCAAATGATGCTTTTTAATAGAATTATTAAGAGGCAAACAACTTTAATGATTTATTCATTCTGTTGTTAAATAATGTTATTTTTGTTATAATTTTTATATATGCAAATGATCGTAAATAAATTATCACGTATTTATTGTTTATATATTCAGTCATCCTTTTTTAAATTTGTTTTATGGGTTATTTACTTACAGCTTGATGAACTTAATGGTTTGAACTACTTATTTGCTTGGTGATACAAGAATGTTTATTTATGACTTAATCATTAAGCCATTAAATCAAAATAGTGTATTTTTAGACCGGTCCAAAATTTTAAGCAGTCAATTTAACTGGACCAGTTCAAAAAATTTACCTATTTTAACTTCAACCTACTAATTACGTTACCTGTGTATTTATCAAACATGAAATGCATCGGGAAAATTATTTGTTAAATTGGTTAAATAAAATTAAAAAAAAATATAAAAAAACATTTAATAAAAAAATATCAAAAACAAAATATATTTGTTAAATTGGTTAAAGTTATATATGTACCCCAAAATAAGATTGATAAAAGCTTTTATTGATTTTATTTATTAACCTGGATGTCTCATCCGCTATGTAAGCTGACTAATCTCAAGGCAATTACCTGTTTTATGGGTAGACCGGAGTCATCGTATTTGAACCTCTGTGGCCAGGGGACTTTTATTCATTCTTGAATTTGAACCCGAGACTTCCAGACACTTTTGACCTTTGGAGTTCAAGTTTAAACCAATCAGACACTACCAATTATGAGTATTTGCATTTTACTATTTTACCTGGGTTTCCATGTGATTAAGCAAGATAGTGAACTTTTAAAATAAGTTGAGAATAGAAAATTGATGTAATTTCTTACCAAAAAAAAATCCAAAATTTATGCTTTTGATAATTTAACAAATTTATTACAAAAATACCAGTTGTTTTAACAATTCATATTTTTCATTAATATATTAATAATTTATACTTAATATTTAATAAATTTATTAGGATCGAAGTTGTTTTTAAGGGAATGGAAATGAGAATATGAACAATAAAAAATGAAACAATATACCTAATTTAGATATATTCAACCCAACCATTAAAAACACATTAAAATAACAGATCCGTTGAAAATTAAAAAAATCAACTTCAACTACACATTAAAAACCAGTAAAAAATATCCTTCATATTACAATAATAATAAAATAAGAAAAAAAATGACAAAAACAACTTTAATCTATACTATATTATAAAACATTTGACAAAAACTCTTAAAAACAACTTTTTATGCGTAAAGTACGGTTTATTAATGCATATTACTTAAAACTCAAGATTGCAAATAGATTGTGCGTAAGTATAACTTATTAAAGCTCCATATCTGAATTCGTGATCAAATACAAGATAAACATCTCATTTTAAATATAAAAAATCTAAAATTTAATTAGGATAATCATTGATTTCTACCAGAATACTTAATTATTATCTTTATAAAATGTTATATTATTAAACAAAAAATAAATTATTTCGTTATTAAACTTAAATTAAATTATAACAAAAAAATTAAAGAAATTACATAAAAAATGAGAACTTTTAAATAGTTGATTTGATATTAACATTGATATATATATTTTTAAAAATTTTTATTATCTTCAAATTTATATTTTATTCAAAAATAAAATCATTATTGCTTTTTTTAAAAACACATAAAATCGTATTATAACATCAACAACGACAAATAACAAAATAGAACATTAAAATCGAGATTTGTCTCGCTGCATTGCGCGAGTACTCTTATAATATAATACTAATACTAATAAGATTTGGATCACGTGAGACTAGTCTATTTTCGTGAGACCCATGAGACCACTTTTTTACACTTAGAACTTCATAGAAAAATGTTATGAAGGTAAAAAATAGCAGAACCTTCACAACAAAAACACTGTGAAGGTTACCTTCACAACGTTTTGCTGTGAAGTTTCAAGTGTAAAAAAGTGGTCTCACGAAAACAGGCTGGTCTCATGTGAACCCAATCCTATATATATAAATAATTACAAAAAAATTAATATAATATCAATATTTAAGATGTAGAAACCAACATTTTTTACTTCTAAATATCACGACAAGTTTGACGATGCCTATTTTTTTAGTGTTACAGTGGTATGTTGAAGGATAAATAACTTCATTTTAATGTTTTTTTTAATATTATAAAAATATGTTGAGATGTTCTTATTAGATTGGAGATGAGTACCCGTTTTAAATAATCATGTATTATTTATAAAACATTTTATAAAAAAAATAAAAACAATTTTTTATGCATGAAGTACTGTATATTCATTCATATTACTTAAAATTCAAGATTACAAATAAATTATGTATAAGTACAACTTAGTAAAGCTCCATGTTTGAATTAGTGTAACTAACTGTGGATAAACATAACCAAATAGAGGATAAACATCTCATTTTAAAATATAAAAAATTTAAAATATAATTAGGATAATTATCGAGTTCTAACAAAATAATTAATTATTATCTTTATAAGAAAATTATATTATTAAACAAAATATAAATTACTTGTTATTGAACCTAAATTAAATTATAATAAAAAATTGAATTAAAAAATTACACAAAAAATATGAATTTTAAATAGTTAATTTGATACTAATATCGATATATTTTTGTCAAATTTATATTTTATTCAAAAATAAAACCATCATCGTTTTTTCAAAATCACATAAGACCATACTATAAAATCGACTGAGAAAAAGAATAAAGTGAAATATTAAAATCAAAATGTATCTCGCTGCATTGCGCGAGTATCCTTCTAGTTAATTATTAAACTAAACACCATCATTCATTATTATTATCATTGCATCGACCAGGTTCTAAGATAGCGTAGATTTTTGAATTCTTTGTGATTAAGGATTTGTTTGTTAGTAGCTTAATGAGGTTAATTAGACTAACAAGTTATTTACATAATTATACATGACTGTTTAATAGTGGTTTAATGATATAGAATGTGATATTCAGTAAGTTTTATAGGGGTGAACTTTATACAAAAAGTCAAGTCTTTTTTTTCTCCAAACATGTTGATGACTCGATTCTTTTTGGGGAATGGAGTACAAAAAATATTCAAAACATGATGGAAATTTTGAAATGCTTTCAAATGGCTTCTGGTTTAAAGGTAAACAAGAATACGAGTAAAATATTCAACATCAGTGTTTTAGATGCAGAAGTTAACGAGGTGGCTAGAAAATTTAGTTGTTGCTTGGATCAACTAACTCTCACTTACCTCGGTATCGTAATTGGAGAAAACATGAACAAGATCGAAAGCTAGAACCCGATAATTGAGAAGTTTAAAAACAATCTTTCATCTGGGAAATTAAGATCGATTTCATTTGGTGGAAGATTAACGTTGGTAAAATCGATTCTTGGTAGTCTTTCTCTGTATTATTTCTCTTTAGTTCGTGCCCCATATCGGGTTCTCCATATTCTTGAGAGTGTGAGGAGAGACTTTTTTAGGGAGGTTACAATGAAAATCGTAAACAATCGTGGGTTACATGGGACTCTATCTTAAATGGTTTTTATTCGGAAGGTAAGGGGCTTAATGTAGGCTGTCTTCAGGCTTCTAATTGGGGTCTTGTAGAGAAGTGGTGGTGGCACTTTCGAGTTGAAGAGAATGTTTTTTAGGTAAAAGTTGTGGAGAGTTTATATGGTGTAGATGGCGACATGGGCAACCTGGAGTTACTTGGGACAAGGGACCAAAGCGGTAGGACGGTTAGGGTGTAACGGAACATTTTGAGAGTTGGGAGGGATCTTGAGAAGATAGGGGTGCACTTTAGGGGCTCGTTTGGTAACAGGATTGGAGATCGCGGTTAGACATTGTTTTGGAAAGATAAATGGTTTGGGAACTTCAAGCTTAGTGATAAATGTCCAAGATTTTTTAGCCTAGAATTTGAGAAGGTTGTGTTGGTGAGGAAGGGAGTGGAACGACGAGACGTAGGGTGGCACTGGTCATGGGGTTGGCATATAGACCATCGAGGTAGAGCCCTCTTTGAGGTAGAAGAGTTAACAGAGTTTGGCTCAAAATTAAAGTTTGGACACAAACGAGCAAGACAAGTAGGTATGGCTCCTAGGAGAGGATTGGATTTTTTTGGTTAAGGGGCTCAAGGAGTTGATTGATAAGCAATTCCTTTGTTCACCAAATCATGCAGTCAAAACAAAATGGAACAAGTTGTTCCAAAGGAAAGTATGCATCTTCATTTGAAGATTAAGAAAAAGGCATAATTCCGGTACATGTGGTGCTTGCAAATCAAGGTTTAGACCTTCATTCTTCTGCATATCCTCAGTGTGGGGACAAAATTGAATCAGTAGATCATTGTTCATCCGTTGCAAGGAAGTCTTGAATGTGGTTTTGAAGGTCTCCGATTGGTGAGGTTT